TAGACTGTCTCTAGGTTATGGATATATATATATATGGTTTTCCTAATTCTTTTTTCACACTACCCATCATTCTGGCCAATTGGACCAAATGTCCACGTGGCATAACTGAATTAATTATATTAAAAATGCAAATATCACTAAATATGTCACAATCTGAACACTCAATCAATTATATTGGCATATTTCACATTTCAATTTTTTTCTAACATGGAACTGATGCACTTTACTATCAAACTTGGTAATTCGATGCACTCAACTGATTGGAACAAAATTGACGTCTCACGATGAACACGTTGGAAATTACAAGATTGGCCGTTACCAAAAGACATATGAAGAAATACGAGAGTCTGTGTAGAGCCAGAAAATGCATTTACCACAGTACAACAGACAAATTTTGGTCAACCTCTCCGATCGGACTTTCAGAAGTTCGTCATACTCACCAAAGGTGGAGTCTTCACTATACCGCCAACCAAGGTACCACATGAGGATATTATTGCGAATATAGAATCAGGTATTCGTACTTCACTTAACGACATTGCTGAGAAACATCGCACAAAACTATCAAAGGCCAACACAACACGACAGAAACGTGAAGCGCTAAAAATCTCAATACAGATAAGAATATTTTGCTATTGCCTGCTGACAAAAGAAGTGCCACCGTCGTGACGAACATCAGGGATCATCATGAGAAAATTGCCACCTTACTCGATCCAGGGATATATAAGAGACTCAGTCGGAACCTGAACTCCGGGATTTTGAGAAAAAAGGTTTTCTTATTCGTTCTTCAAGCCTTGGAGAGAATACGAAAAAGATCATACAAAAATACGAAGCCACGTCTATATGGCTTATCAAAAATCCATAAAGAGAATGTGCCACTTAGACCTATAGTAAATGCGAGAGGTTCACCAGTTGATGAGCAGGCCAAATACTTGACAACCCTACTGCAGCTATCAAAGCTGTATAAAGAGATCCATGAATTCATGGATGCAGGCCGAATCGATAAATTGGAATAAGCTCCCAGGAATGAGGAGCCATCGCCCAGATTCACGGAAGACCTGCTAAACCACAACCGTAAGGTTGTAAGGGTAGTGGTGGGTCTACTGACGGGGCATAGCCGACTCAGGAAACATATGAGCAACATGGGTCTGACAGAAGAAACACAATGCAAATTCTGTCAAGAAGAGGAAGAAATCGCACTGCATATGCATGTGCGAAGCGTTAGCAAGGCTGAGACACGCAAGATGTGGGGAAGATAAACCAGAGGCTGCCAACTATATGAAGGTGTCAGTATCAAGGCTATGGAGTCTCATCAAAGATATCAAGCTAGAAAATGAACTCTAACAACCCAGGAGCATCACAATAGATCTGAAAAGGTTGCAGTGAATCAGGCCTTGGGCTAGCTCCCCAACAATCTAATCTAATCTACTGGAGCAGTTTATAAGAAATACAGAGTCATTTATTAAATACTCGGGACAATTTATCAAAAAGAGTAGATATATGAAATTCAAAAACAGGGATAATTTTAATAGAATAGAGGAGACAATGAACATCAATAAAATCTAGCCACCTGTCCTTTATTATACACAAATAAGGTTAGGTAATCTAATCATGAGAAACCAAAACACGCTTACCTATGATAATATAAAACCGAAGACAAATTCCAGTATTCCAGTTGTTTCTGGAACAACAGCTCGACCGTCACCTTTGGTAATGGGTACGGCAGTGGTGGACGAAAACGACAGGTATAAAAACCTGCAGACCATGGCCAAAAAAACCGAAAATTTGCTTTGACACAATGAATAGACATTTAAATAGTTGAAAATCAGCTCGATACTGAATATTTTGATTTGCTTCTTTAGTTATGATCAACTGAAACCTAGTTTCAGTTGATTTCTAAAAATATAAAGATATATTGTGCTCTAAAACAGCACCTTTGGACCTCTCAATGTTGAATACAATCGTTTGGGTCAGATTTCTAAAAATGTAAAACAAAAATGCTGGGTAATCTCTCCAGAATGTTGTTCGAATTCAAGAAATCATGATTTTCAAAAATAATCAAGAGAAAAAGCCAAATGTATTTCAGAAATGAGTATAAGAAATCAGGAACTGCTCCAAACAATGAAGTGAGAAGTTTTTCATCTGGTCTTCAAGAATAAAAATTTCGTTACCATGCATGATTTTTACCAGATCAAACTGTTCGCTTTAAGAAAATACTGCATGTAGGGTGTATTGGCCCAATGGGCGCCTCAATATGCCATATCTATAGGATGAAATATGTTACTCAATACATCATATGTAATAATGACACGAGACCCTGATTGGCGAAGGTTCTACCGGTGAGAAAGTTATCGAAGTTTTCGAAAAGATGGCAGTCGGGTGGTCTGGAGAGTATGGTGGTTGAGGCAGAACTTCGAATCTCAATTCGTTTAATTTCCAAACGGTTATTTGTGAATCGTACGGACGGGCGTTGTGGTGGAGCAGGATCGAACCTCTTCTGCTGACCGATGTTGGCTGCTATTGACGCAATTTGCGGTATATTTCCTCGTAAACCAACGTACTACGGCACAGTTGAATAAATATTCATTGAAATATGTAGCTACAAAAGCACATGACAATAAAACGGACAAAACTTTTGAAAGAACCTAATAATGTCTAATACCGGCTCAAAGATAACAAGTTTGGTGATTATTAGAAACAATGGTTGGCTATTATCAAGAGGAATTCAAAAAAATTCAATGCAAAGTGGCCCTCAAGTTAGAATAACCTTGAAAGTTCAAAATTACATGAGGCTTTGAGTAAAACATAATAATACAGAATGATTGGAAAAGCCAAAGCAAGATATGTAGGCATAGACTGTCTCTAGGTTATGGGTTATAATCAAACAGTAAATATTTGTCAGGTATGAACACAAAAATTGAAAAATGGAATTTTGTATTTTCAGTACCAAAAAGTGTGCTTTGGATTAACAATTTCTAAACTCAAGACATTTTTATTACATATTTACCTGGGTAACTATAACTTTTTGTTGATTATTATTCAGCCTCACTGTGAGTAATGGATATCCTGATTCATATATCCAGTTAACCATACGGTTCTCCAAATCAAGCACTTTCAAGAGGGACTTTGGATCTGTTATATTAAACTGGCTGAAATAAATCAACTCATATATCAACATACTCTCAATGAAAATTTCATTTTGAATGATCACCTATTAACATCTGTTACGGTCAAGGCGAATTTTTGAAAAAATTGTGTTCAGTGACAGTTCTAATAGAAATAACCAAGATTTAACTTACTTTGTCGACAGATAAGATTTGATACAGTTTTGAAACTCATCATCCCCTTTAATGCTCCTCATCATTCTTATCAAACTGGCCCCTGAAAAAAAAATGAAAATTTAATCTTATGCCGAACAGTGGGAGCTGTGTGATGTAGATGAGCAAATAAAGTAAATAAAAACTTTTCCAATCACGAAGACTCCACACTTCATTGAATTGAATAACATACCTTTCTTAGATGTTACAGCATTGAATTTCTTCAAGCAATCATCAGATGTCATTACATCTTCCTCTTTACTAGAAAGTGGTTCAGAATCTGGAAAGGCATCTTCCCGCAGTGCCACTTGAAGCTCGTTTATAGTGAACTGCTTCTCATATTCAAATTTTAGATCAGGAATCTGTGAACAAACGTGAAAGGGGTTCTGATAACAGATTTGTCATGGATTTGCCGTACAACTGACTCATGAATGCCCTAACTTGATTTTGAATCATCGGCTAGGTTAGGTTAGGTTAGGTCCAAAGTGATTGGGTCTATTCGACTATCCACCGCAACCGGCAAGGTTGTGCTTTAAACCTATTCACACTCGACCAAATAAACCCAGCTTCTCAACGAAGCCGATTAGTTTGTATGGTGAGTGGTCTTTCAGAGCAAATGATAAGAGTACGGCTCTGCCGAACTCTAAAAACCTAATTTGGTCCCCAGCGGAGCAGGTACAAGGTATGTGTTCTGCTGTTTCATCATTTTCCAAACAGAGGGGACACACACTGTCTCCTAACATTCTGAGTCTCTGCATATGATGATTCAAATGACAGTGACCTGTAACAAGGCCTGTTAGACATCGTAAGTCATTCCTACTGTCGTACAACAACGGTTTGGTATCAAGCTTCGAAGTGTGAATAAACGCCTTGATGTGAGCCAATCCTGGAAGATTCTGCCAGAAGTCCATAAATCTTCTTACCATCCAGATGTTCAATCTTTGTTTGGCAAAGCCTGAAGCGATGCCAATGACAGGTTCTGGTCCGATGAAGCTGCTTGCAGTACCCTCCTTTGCAAGGGAGTCAGCAGCCTCATTGCCTTTCAGGCCAGAATGGACAGGAATCCAAACCAGAGACAATCTGTTACGTCTTCCTATCAAAGAGAGTGGTTTTTGGCAATTTGCTACCAGGAGAAAAGACAATTAGTAAAATTCGTGTCAGTGAATGAATTATTGCTACTGAGTAGCAATATTGCGTATTCGCATTCAAAAAATATTTTGAACTGTACAGCATAACCTACTTATGGGGGGCCTTTTGGTGGAGTCAGCATACAGTAATTTGCCAAGAAGCGGGTGTATATCTATCTTTTTGTCAAACTTGGTCAGCAGTTTATAACGTATTTTCATTTCTTACCTGTCCCGGAAGGAAATATTCGAAGAAAATCGCAAACCCTTCGCTCAACCACTCATCTGACCACCAGTCTGGAGTGACGTATGCACCAAACCATTGCTTAGAAACTGAATGCGCTATATTGGAGATAATTTTCTGTTTGGTGATTTCAGTGCTTTTATCGGCTTCATCCAGTAAATCTTGTTCTCTAAAGTCAAATCAATCAATTATTAATAGAAATAAAAAAGTCATGGAACTGCTCGCTGATATTCATGAGGCAAGTACAGTCAATAATTCTTTCAATTCTGTTCGACTTGTCGTCTTTCACGAGCGCTTAGCTTTAAAGATTGACGCATGAATTCAAGAAAAAATCGGAAAAACATTGCTCTCACTATTGAATTGAAAGGAAGAACAGAAAGCTAGTTACATAGTGGCATAGTCAGAATGATGCAAGAGTGAGTGTTACCTACCAGTGAACATTGTCAAATTTCACTCCTGGTACCAATTTTTTCATAATTATCCTTTCTTGAACATTTAATGGTGTTGAAACCAGAGCCCAAAACCAAAGCATGCGTGATCCAATACTAGAGAGTACTGTTTCAACTCACCAACGGTTGAAACAGTGGGAAGCGGCAATGACGTATCCCCTTACAAAAACGCCATCATCTACGGCAATCCACGAATATGAAAGATAAACGAGGCTCCTCGATGTGGTCAATAATAAAAATAAGTTTTCACATCGACTTCTGAAGGAGATCCGTCTTTTGTCTTTCACGGCTAGGCAACTAGATGAAGCCAGAGACAACTAGTTGAAACAAAACCCAAAAGCAAAGCATTCCTGATTTCACGCCTCTACATACACAGGTTTGTCCATTGAGGAATGTTGAGTTCAGCAGGGCATTTGTGGATTAGCTCAGCACCACTGATAAGACCAGGTCGCAATAGCCCCGTCTGAAGTTGGATCATGAGTATTTTGGTTTTGGGCTCCAGTTATAACTAGAAACTTAGTAGGGAAGGCTACGACGAAGTGTTATGATTGTTGTCATATAAATATTACATTCAACATTTGAGTCTCCGAGTTTATTTTGTTAGTGCTGAACGAAACTTCGTTCCGGTAAGGTTAGGTTAGGTCAAAAGTGTGTGGGTCTATTCGAACTTCCATCATAACCCGCAAGGGTTTATTGTGACTCACAGCTATTCAAACTTGACCAAATAAAGCCAGCTTCATGACGAAGCTGAGTAGTTTATATGGTGAGTGATCTTTCGAATCAAATGGTGTTCAATGTTTAATTGGCAAAACTAAAAGCAATGCCAATGACAGGTTCTGGTCTGATGAAGCTCCTTGCAGCACCCTCCTTTGCAAGGTAGTCAGCAGCATCATTGCCTTCTAGGCCAGTGTGTCCAGGAATCCACAGCAGAGACAATTTGTTAAGTCTTCATATCGAGGAGAGTCGTTTTTGGCAATTTGATACCAACTTAGACGTTGCTCGATAGAAGCGAAGAGCTCCCAACGCCGCTTGACTGTCCGAGAATATTTTTATTGACGTGTGAGTGAGGTTGGAGCCTACCAATCTCTCCGCACACAATTCAATAGCATAGATTTCCGCTTGAATCGTCCTCATTAGTTGAATGCCGTTTTACATACGTAAATAAGCGGAGGTAGCCAGACTTCAATAATGTTCATTCCATCTTCTTTTCCATTGAATTTTTTTCTGTTTTTGAATTTCTATCGCTTCCCCACATAGTCTTGTACCGTACCTCTTAGTTCCATCGAGCCTTTGAGTGTCTTCAAATGACAATTTCTTCTATGTTCTGGAAGCTGGATACTTACACATGTTTTAGTGGCCCAACTGTTAACCGATCTACAGCTACAAAGGATCTGGTATACCCCCGATATTGCTAAAGGTCCTCCGGAGTCCAATTCAGACTATTTGAAATTGAATGAAATAACAAAAATTGGAAATAGTTTTAAATGTTTTTCAGCTTGCTTCTTGATAGGAAATTGAATGATATTTCTCTTATTCGGTATATTTCACAAATGAGCCCTATTTTAAAATGTTTCTGATAAATCTATGAAAAATTATAGTATTCTACTCGTGGAAAATGGCCTTTACTCACTCGAATGATTTAGGATGTTTGCCTTCGGCCTAAGTCAACAAACTTCATTATCACGAGTAGTGGCCACATTTCTCGCTGTTGAATGATACACACTGTAAACATTTCCTGTAAACATCAAAGTGAAAATACTCACCTATATATTATCAATCCCCAATTCTCCCGTGATCGAAATGTAGAATGCTCAAGAACAACCTGATCAAGCTGTGCGTTCTTCATATCTTTGTACTCAACTCCAGCCCAGTCGCTCATTAATTGTATAATATTTGGAGTATATTTCAAAGCGGTTCCGGTAAATGGTTTCAATTGCGGTCTGGTGTATACCTTATATAATGAATTTCCAGATTCCAGTTTCGAAAGCACGAATCCAATCAAGTAGGTGGGCATAGGAGGAGTCGAACCAAATTCCACCTCATCAAGTCTGAAATTATTGTACAATGATAATAATCAAGATAATAATAATAATAAACATAGACACTCCAGCCCTAGTGCAGTTCGAAACCTGAGCTCAATGACGTGCTCAACCCGATAACCCCGGATGACGTTCGAGGGTCCTTGTGGGTTCCAAGAACATTGCTGCTCCAGATGAGCTCAACACTTATTGGTGGAAAAACTTCCAAACACCCATCGCCATCTGACCAGAGTTTCTAACTCATGGCTAGACGGACAGCAGTCGATTTCGGATTAGTTTGTCGAGAAGCGGACTGTAATTATCCTCGAAAACAGAGATTCGTCGATTCCTTACAACTGCAGACGATACCATACTTGAATTCATGTTATAAGTTGTTCACAGGCATATTATACACACGAATACTCTCCCCAGTCGACCAAGTATTCGAACGGATATATGAGCAGAGAGGGTCGTCTGTCTCGTCAATTTCATATCTCAAGTTCACGAGCTGCAGTAAGAAGCTGTCGGAATTCATGCCAGATGTTCAAAAATAAGCGACGATACCTTCATGCCCTGAAATAGCTCCTCTACCAACTGGCAGAATGAAACGTTTTATCAAACCCTTTACATTTGCAGGAATGAATCATTTTGGCTTTGGGCCTATGGATGTGGCTATTGTAAAAAGCAAGGAAAACAAATACAGTAGACCAGGATTCAGAATTTAGTAATAATCATGAAATCCGTGTTCTGAAACAAGTAATCGACACCTTGAGGTTCAAGGATAGTAATTGCAGCAGATATCAAAATACCTTTCGAGACCATTTGGTGGTATATATAAAATCAATCACCACTTTTACAAGTCAAAGTATGAACACATCTCACATAAATTTCAACCCCACAAACAAAAGTAGTGGGAGCAAAAACAATTGAACCTAGTCGGAAGCCAAAAGGAATCGTCAGAATTTCGTTTTCAAGAGAGTACGAAGTAGAGCAACCAATTGAGTATTCAGTCAAGTTCCAGATTCCTCCATCATTCCTTCATCTCACGTGATGAATTAGTGACAGAAGAGTAGACGTTGCCAGCTTTTCTTTTCATCTTTTTGATAATTTAACCTATAGGGTGTTAACTTGGTGCTTTGAGAATCCCAAAACCCAAACCTTCTTCGTTATCTGTATCTGATGAGATAAGCAAGGTAAATGACAAAATAAACTTTCTTTTATGAAAAACACAGTTCAAAGAAAAAAAGAAATGCTTACACGTATGCTATTTCAGCTGTGAGGAATTCTCGAAACTACTTTAAGTATTAAAGGCATTGATAGGTCTTTAAACAACCAAAATTACTCGCTTGGAAGAATTTACTAGGCCTAACTACCAACTTTTTGAATTCATTTCAACTTCAACTCACATTTTGTCACGTTCATCAACTCATCTCGACATTTCTGTCATATGTTTTTCACTTCAAAGTTCAATTATCAAATACATTAGATTTCATTATCAAATGAGTGACTTTCCTTACCCGTTGCTTTCATTAGATATAGAACGTATCTGAGTGTTTCCAACTACTCGGAAAGTATCAGGAAACAGAATAAAAATATCAAAAACAGCTTTGAACTCTGGTTCATCGAAGCAAGGAAACACTCTTCGGGCATAAGAAGGGACCATTTGGGTAGCGAGTAGAACTTCTTGGTGGCCATCTTGCTCATATATGTTTTTATAGAGACCAAATTCACCATCGTCACTCAGTAATGCTTCGTAATTTATTACCAGAGAGTTTTCGTCTTTGGGGTCGGTATTTTCCGAACAAGTTATAGTTATCTTTTCTGTTTCTTTATCCGCATTTGTAACGTTACAAGGCTTTTCGAAGTCGCTATTCAAAATAATTTTACTCAGATGTAAATGGTCCGGGGAAGCATGTAGCAATATAGTATTTGTAGCTTCGCTGGTTTGGAAGGTTATTGCCACTGATCCGGTAAAGTTATTGCTTTCAATGTCATTGATGTGTATGCGAAGAATGTAGTGGAGTGGGACAACAGTTTTCGGTAGACGATGATCCTTCGCCACTCTCACAGATATTTCTGCTGAAACAATACACAGTAAGACGAGATATAGGGCCACAGTATTCACCCATGCCATTTCTACCTGAAATGAAAAAAAAATTCACTTCATAGACCCAATTTTCTGATAAATTATTTTCAATATTGATTATACAATGCTTTCCAAAAGTAATGATGAATGACATAAACATGATACATCTTTGGTGTCATTTGAAAACTCAAGTTCACATTTTTGAAGTTGAAAATTCGAAGCATAGAAGCAGAGGATCTTTCAAGAAATATCAATTACTTGATTGAAATGGTTCAATATGCATTTGTCACCAATCCCGAGGCTGGACAGAAGTGGCTCAATCTGAAGCGGTGGCTGGAGATGAATAGAAATGTCCACCCCAATCTACCGCTTTAAGTGAGGCTGGACATAGCAGATCACCTCATGATGTAATACAAAGGCCAAGGTGTAAGCGCATTTGCGGCGCCGAGGCCAAAAGGAGAAAGAGAGCGAAAGAGGTAGGAGTGGCAGCAACTCTAAGTGCACCCTCCTCCTCCCCCACTCCAACTCCAACAGCAAGAGCACTTCCTGCGGCGGGCGCCAAGAGCTCCGCCTTGAATAAAGGCAAGGAACCGGCTGCCCCTGCAGGAAAGCTCCCTCACTTGTGCACCTCCACGGAGGGAACCCCAAGAAGGTTGAAGAAGCCGCGCAACGACAGTAATGTCGCTGCACCTTCCAAAACCTTCGCGGAGGCTACCGTGAGACACCTCAAGGTTGCCAAAGAGAGTGTGTGTTCGGCGAATCTTAGCCTACACCTGCCAATATAAAGGAGATGTCTCCTATAGTGACCTGTCCACCTTCCTGAAAAGGTCAGGATGGACGATGACCTAAGAGGACAACTCCTCGGGAGCATGTACAATGGGTCACATGTGGCCTAAGTGCTGTGGGTCTACACTCACTCTCCCTTCTCTACAGATTCACATGCATTTGTCACTAGACTATAACATTTTATTTTGCAGCGTTTGTGTTCTTCATTCTGATTTCGATATTTTCTCTATTTTCCATTCAGAACGTGTGATACAACTTATTTCAAAAATAAATTTGTCACTGGAACCTCTTCAATTTGTGGCAACAGCAAATTGCTGTGTTGAACGTTGAAAATAGTTTTCTGAGGAGTGCAGCTGAATCAAAGTAATCTAATGCAAATTAAATTGTGAATTTTGGCCGACAAGAAATTTAGCAAATACTTGCCTACTCTTCATTAAATATCATATACTCTCAAAATGGAGGTTGAGCCGATAAAAATACATCAACTAAGTTTAAAGCATATTAATCCCCGATAATATCACGATAGTTTTTTATTATTCTGGTTGAAAAACTCTATAGAGGACGTTAAATCCGTTATAGTCCAGGAGCTTCGACATCACATCTTCGCAACTAAGTAAGTCGAGTAGACTTTACATACTGATTTTTATATTTCATTCCGTGCGATTGCGATATCACTGGGGAAACGAATTTTCATTGTTGTGAATCTGCAACTTTTCCATCAAGTTACCATATCATCGTGTATTGATATAAAGTTTATTACAAATGCTGTGCCTTGAAAAATAAAAAAAAATATACATTTTTGGAGGGATTCAAAATTAAATGTTGTGATGGTGAAAATAATGATTGTAATGCAGATAAAAGTATACTGGAAGAAACAATAAATAAGCTAACAGAAACATCAAACCAAAAAAATTAGTATATTATGAACATAAAACTTGACAAGGCTAATGAAGAAATAACTCATTAGAGGAATGTCATTTCACAAATAACAGAAAAATATTGCAGAGTTGGATCCACGCAGACTGAGAAGACAATTCAGTTAACTAGTTTATTGATCCAATAATTTTTCTGAAGGAAGGTTGGTTAGGTAACAGGATCAATGTTTTCTTTAAAAAACAATTGTTGTTTTGCCGACGTTTCGAATTCAATTAAACTTTTCTTCAGGGTCAAAAAGTAGTTTCTTCGTGTTGATAATATTACTGTTACAAAAACCATCAGACATATTAGATACATATTAAAACAAAAAAAAAACATTGCAACAGACAAACTTCCATATTACGGGATCTCCGTTTACTACACCACATACGGTGAATGGACTATCTTATTCAATTCCTGAGGGGGCGATACCTGATTAACAGTAAAGCCCCAGGCTGAACCATCGATTTTCACTTGCTATCGTCCAACCTGTGTTAGGAATCACACGTTAAAAGGTAAGACCTCGTTAGTCTTTCGCTCGCACAAGTTTGGACTTCTGAGGTTTGTCGTTTGTAGGGGTGCGATAGCTGGATAGCGAAATAGCTGTTTTTTTATGAAGATTTTTTTACTGGATTAAATAGTTGATTCATACGTATTTCTGGCTGTTGGCCTCATCAGCGCGGTGCAGCCAATTGCAAAGGTGCACAACAATTGATTACCGGAAATGGAAAAACATCACATATGTACGGTGTCACCACCAATGTGCGGTTAGCTCCTGTTGGTGACACCGTGCATAAGTGATGTTTTTTCATTTTTGGTAACTAATTGTTGTCCACCTTTGCAATTGGCTGCACCGCGCTGATGAGGCCAATAGCCAGAAATACGTGTCCGCGGTTTGCCTCCATATTTCTTGAGTGTTCTGTCCACGAATTTCCCCCTTTTGATTTATATCATACACGCTCGATAATATCTACATAATATTTCAAATCATCTGAGAACATATTTACTTAGAAAGTATTTACCGTAAATCAAAGGATACTTAATAATTAAAAGTAAAAACAGATCATTCAATTTTTCTCTGTATGTAAAACAAATTATTGAAGAAAAATACTGTAAAATATCATCTGCTAGTCATGACCATTTCAACACTAATATATATTTCATCAATACCACAGTGCTACTCTGTGTGGCATCAATATTTTTTAGACTCACCTCGTATTTGAATCTCAAATCAACCGAGATATTTTCCTGTAGATTACGAAGTACACAAAAAGTAAAGAATTGTTTCACTAAATTGAATAATAGATAAGAACGTTATACATATTACCGAGTTAATTAAAAAGAGAGAGATTTTATTTTTCCAGCAACTTGACCCTTGAAACATTTCCGAAACTTGATAATTAGAGTTTGGGTTACAAATTATCAACGTTATGAAACAAAAAGGAATGGAGTGGGTGGAATTATTTGTTGATACATGTTAATATCAGAAGCTCTCTTTAAACTAAACCAAAATATCACGTGACCCAGAAATGAGTTGAAGAATACATGGTGATTCAATTATTCATAGCATAGCAGTGCTTTCATGAGTCTCTTCAATCTTGGAAACAGAAAAAAGTCGCAGAGGGTCAAATCTAGTGAATACTGTAGCTGAGGCATGATTACGGTGTCGTTTTGGATAAAAAAAAACCGCGAACAAGCAATAACGAGTGAGCAGGTGCATTATCGTGGTGCAAAAGTCATGAATTGCTATCTATTCTCTATACAGAACGGGTCATGAGCAAGGCCAACAAGAGAAAATGTTTCCAAAACTCCAAAACACGTCAAATTCGTTCGAGAGGTAGCAAGTTTTGACCTAAAAACCATTGGAAAACTTCCAGCCTCATAACCAGATTTTTTCAAAACAGAAAGGTGGTCAAGTGATATCTCTTGAAGTGGATTTTTGATTCCCTAGTCATTAATACTTCGTTTTTTAAAATAGGTCTCTACTTTAGATGATATGGAGCTTTGAAATGCTTTCAATACGTTTTTCTAAAAATTCAAAAGATAGTGATTTCAAATCAAAACTTTCGTATCAGTCTAAATCTTATATACTTAATAAAGATGGAAAAAATGCACTTACTCAAACGCAAGTACCAACTGGCAGCTTATCCATTTTGGTGGATCTATAGATATATTGAATTGTTCAAAAAATAGGGTGAATGTACAGTCGATTGACGATTTTTAATTTGTTTTGTGTTGGTACACTCGTCTCTTACATACGTTCACAGTTTCAACTGCTTAGCATGTTCAGTTTGTTGCTGAGAGGCATGAAATTTAGAATAGTTTTACGTGTTTGACGATTTTCTGCTATCGAAAAAAGTAAATCATAGAATTTGTATCAAATTTTGAGAAAAAATTGGAATTAAGTTCTCAAAAAAACACTGTTGTGTTGACGTGTGGCATACGATGATGGTACTCTGAGTTAGAAAAATGTTTACAAGTGGAACAAGCTTTTCACAGATGGTCGACAAGATGTGAATGACGACGCTCGCTCAACAATCGATGAAAATGAATATTACTGCAGATTTTTCCCAATGCCAAACCATTATTTTAACACCTCGACACGTGTTTCGATCACTGAGTGATCATCTTCAAGAGGAAGATCAAACTAATCATACTTATTCGTGTATACACGAAGAAAGATTGTCAAGGAACTAGGTATGAAGGTGGTTTTTAAAACAAATCATACACTACAAAGCCTTTCAGGAAGTCCAAAATAATTCGGAAAAGTCTGGAATTTACGAAATTAAATGTAAGGACTGCGATGCAAAATATCATGGACAGTTATAAGGAACACTCAAAATATGGGAAACCTGAAAAATCAGCAGTCGCCCATCACATTTTGCAACAAAACCATGAGATATAAGTAAACATAATAATATTATGAATAACGATGGTGGACCAATACCTAATAGTATACTGAATAGCTTGTTAAAATAGTATTTTATTCACCTATTAGATTTGCCTCGACTATTACATAAGGACACATTATAAAGTTAATTTAAGACTAGTATGTAGAGCAATATTGTGAATTTAATTTTATATAGCTCATAATATTTTATTTGTTAGATTTACCTGACTATTACAAAAGGACACATTGTAAAATTAATTTAAGACTAGTAGATAAGGCAATATTCTGAAATTAATCTAAGACACTTAAGACGCAGGTACCTAGAACAGGTATCTATGGAATAAATAAGGATAATTTTGTAAGGATGATTAGTTTGATCTTCCTCTTGAAGATGATCACTTGGTGAAAAGAAACACTTGTCGAGAGGTTAAAACAATGGTTTGGTGTTGGGGGAAAAGCCAAAGGTTCCAAACAGTGCATCACAAGTAATCGATGAAAATATTGAGATTAAGTTTTGAGTTAAATTATGTTTTGAACGAGAAGAAAATCTCAATTGATTATGCTCGAAAGAAAGCAAGGCAAAATTTAGAAAATCAAGCTATCAAAATGTGTAATCTTTCGAAAGAAAAATTTCCTGCTGCTGTGATTGGTGACAATGTTGGAGTTTCCATTCCAGACGTTGATCGTGGTAAAACAGATCCAAAAATTTTAATTTGCGTTGTTTTGTCTAGAGATGACGAAAAAAAATTATATAAATTAGGAAGTAAACAGGGAATTTTAAAACAATCTTATTCTAGGCATGAATTCGCCATTTGCGAACAAAAGTTTATATGATACGAAGATGTTCCTCAAGATGTTGAGAAATCGGTAAGAGAAATTATAGGAATGCAATCCCTTACTTGTGGACAAGGTTTTAAAAGATACATCTGTAAAGGAACATGTTCCTCAAAAAAATGCTGGAATATTATGTTATTCTAAGTGCCACAATAATAATTCTTGCTCGAATAATAAAACTTTTTTCATTATGAAATTTCTATATGTTCCTCCATAGTTTTATAAAATTCAACTGTCATAATAAAGAAAAGTATGTTATTATTGTTATTTGTTTGATTCCCATCGTAAAGGTCCTGAAAAACTAGGACGAAAATTGTATTTATGAATATTGGGATCATAACCTACGATATATTATATAATATGCAAAGAAAAGTATGTTTTGTTCGTTACATTTTACATTTTTATTATTAAAATAATTTTCGTTATTGAAGCCTTTTGTATTATATTTATTTAAATAAATATTTTTTCACTGCAACAATATTTTTAATTTATTTGTATTCCAACTTTTCTTAAAACATGATGGTTAAAGTATACATTTACCAAAACGTGAAGCAAGAGTACACATTTGCCGGGAAATGTACATATACATTATATTCAGTTCATATATACCTAACTTTCTGGGAAATATACACATTTTATGGTAAAAGTGTACATTTACCGTGAGGTTGAGTGGAAGAACTCAGTAGCACTTGTGCTAATTGAGATGAACTTCGCCTTTTGTTATGTCAGCAACTAGCTCTGTAATTTATTTAAATATTGTATGTTACTACAGCTGGGAAACAATAAAGACGATTATTATTATATTTATATACATACCATAATATTTTTTTAACTTTGTGTTGTTTGAATTTACAAAAATTCATCAATTCGTCAACGTATCACTAACTCTTATTTATCTCTGATTACCACCCATGCCTGCAGTTAACTCTTACACAACCTATCTTTTTTGCACACCTGCACTCATTAATTCTCTATGTAGATATTTATTTATCTCAAGTACAACCATTTATTGTTATCTATAACTGAGTATTAAATACATTTTAAAAGCAGTAATGAGGCCATGTGTAATGATGTTGTTGGAAGATCGGTTTCTATATTTTCGACAGTTATTGGTTGTTGATTTGAAAATCGAAATTCTAGCTCCGGTAGGTATCAATTGAGGTTTTGAACGTGTTGGTAGCGTCCATCATATAACATAATTTTTGTTGGGTTGAACATAAATAGTTTTTATACATGAATTTCTATTCTGAAAAATTCAGATTGGGATCTAAATTCAATGGTGATGGTCTTTGTTGATTTGAATTTTGGCTTATTACTGGTGGCCTGTTCGTTTTTTTGACTTGATATAGTTGTGGGTGGACTTGGCCTAAAATTTTGCACTTACGGATTTGGTCTTTGAAAGTTTTGCAAAATTTCATTACGTGGAATTTAGTTTTTTTTTTGTTTTGGTTGAAACTGTTATTCAAAGTTTGTTGTTCACAGTAAAAGAGTTATATTTCTCTTTTCATTCCTTTAATAGCTTCCAGTGTGAAGGGTGAATTTCATGCTCTAACTATTCTTATAATAGAAGAATCAAAGCCTGTTGAAAGGGTGTTTAATGTCATGGTTTCAATCAGATTTTGTTGGACCTGCTTCTTTTCAGTTTTCGAATGACTGCATACATTTTTGTGTTGTGAGTTCGAAGTCTGTTGATAAAATTCTGATGGGTCTGTAATTCTTGAGTCGAGAAGAATGAACCTCGAGAATTACCAAAGCATTAATTCAGTAATAATTTGATTACCTCTCAAGTCTGAGGATTGCGAGAACTCATCAATTCAACTGCTTCGACTTGGGGTTTGTATTTTATGTGTAATATGACCACGATTTTCTGATCTTGTACTTCCATGTGGTAGGCAGTATTATACGCTTGTATGTATCGATAGTCATCATATTCGGGAACAACTGAAAAAAGTTCATTCAGTTTGTAGGGTTTAATTGCGGGTGATGCTAGTGAATTGGGTCGAAGTGTACATACTTTGTCGTCATGTTCAACAACAAAACCGACAGTACTAAATTTGAAGAAGCAGAGAAGGCGATAATGAAGGCACGAGTGATCTGGCTAAAAGAACAGTGCAGGACACTGTTCTCCAAAAGAAGTAACCTGCAACATTATTTGAAGGTATTACACTCTGAACTTCCTTATAAACTCCACCAGATAGAATTTGACAGTTTTTATGACCAAGTTTGGTCTACAATTAGTGATTTTATATACCGGAAGTACCAAGCTCAATTCAAGAAACTTAAGGCACTAACACAGAAACAACAACATATAATACACAGCGAATCAGTCGAACCAGATATCCAGTTCACCGAAAAAATCATTAACTTGACCAAAGTAGAATTTAACAAAGAGGAAATTTCAACAATGTCCAAAGGGCCGAAATATACACCAACAATAATTAATAAAAATAGTTTGGATACGTTGATAACAGATACAGCTATTGCATTGAAACAGACAGATAATAGAGATATAGGGGCATACAATAGAAATGAAGTAATTCAGAACCATCCATTCTCTTATCAAACAGTAGAGAAACAGGCACAATAAAAACTATAAAACAAAAAATAAGAAATAATGATCTTGTTTTCATGAAAGCTGATAAATCGAATGACATCGTTTCCTTGAACGAGAAACATGTTCAGAAAATTGAGTCAGTCATCAAGAAAGGCCCAACGAAAAATGGTCAAAATGAACTGAAAAATTTTCTCTTAGTGACTGAAATCATTTTCACGGAATCAGAGAAACAGAGAATCACCAACATGAACCCCTCTTGCCCTAAACTATATGGCCTGATAAAAACACGTAAAGAGGATAACCCCATAAGACCGGTAGTTTCGTATATAAATAGTCCGGTAAAAGAACTAGGAATACGTCTTAACAAGTTACGAATTTCGTCCCACCTTACAGCATTAAAAATTCACTGATTTTAGTAGAAAACATAAGGAACCAAACCACGCCACATAATTCAATTTTAGTTTCATTCGATGTAAAGAGTATGTTCTCCAACATACCTACTTTACAACGAGTGTAAGCCCCTCATTTTAGACATATTAGATCAGGCCGAAGTAGACATATTCATTTTTGGTACAGATATGTAGACGATATTCTCGCCTGTTTCAGAGGTACTACACGACAGCTAAACCAATTTATGACATTCATGAATAATCTCAATAGCAACATTCAGTTTACACTCGAAACAGAGATAGAGAAACAGATAAATTTCTTAGACCTAACCATTACATACAATTAGAATAAATTTGAGTTCAATGTTTTCAGAAAACCTAGCTATACAGACATTACCATCCCAAGCGATTCTTTCCATCCAGACAGTCATAAATTAGCAGCATACAATTCAATGTTGCACAGAGCATTCTCACTGCCTTTGTCTGCTTACAATCTAGCTAGGGAAATTGATATAATTTCGCAGATTGGTCATAATAATGGTTTCAACGCAGATACTATCCAGAAATTAGTCAGGAAACAAAGTCGGAAATTCACTTACAGATTAATATACCCTCAGGTCAAACAACCAGAAATCAAGAAATGGGTAACGCTAACATATTTTGGAAAAAGAACAGAGATAATTGCGGGTTTTTTCAGAAAAAACAATGTGGAAGTGACATTCAGACCAACCACATGCCAGGTTATCTCATTTCTTTTTCAATGCCAAAGATAAGGTGGACAAGTTGGAGAAATCTGGAGTTTATAAGCTTAAGTGTTCGGAGTGTAATAGTGTTTATGTGGGACAATGTGGCCGAAATTTCCAAAAACGATATGCCGAACATGAAAGGTCCTTCAGACTAGGAAAAAATGATTCGACGTTTTCAAACCATTCCTTGGCATGCAACCACAAGTTTCCAAACCTAAACGATACAGAAATTTTGCACTATGCAAGGAAGGGTCTCAATTATTTACAATTCTTGGAAATTCACAAGCATAAACATTGCGGGTGCAACCTGTTAAATGATCAAATCGATTTAGTTTACTCGCCGGTTTTTACTTTCACTTATCCCCGCCAAACGGTCATCTCCCGCTGGTTTAGTGGGAGATGACCGTTTGGGGGAGTTGGCTTGATGTTGGGTTTCCATATGTTGCGTATCTCTACGCTAGCTTGACTGAATACGTTGTTGGACAACATGTATGTGGCTTCTTTGAATTTCCTCCTAAACCAATGTTCCTCTCTGTATATAATCTCAGCTTGGGGCCACTCGATGTTATGTTGATGGGTCCATACATGCTCTTCTATTCCTAATTTGCCAACTCTCGCCAAACGGTCATCTCCCACTAAGCCAGTGAAGCAGGAAATGGAAAGCGGGGATAAGTGGAAGTACTCGATAATTACCCATAAATAGTCATATCTCGGAAGAATCAGTCCAGTCATCACCCGAAGACGATTGTGGATACTAACAATCGAAACGTCGTGAAGTAACCTGTCTTGGAATCTATTTACGTTTTAATTTTATTTTTTGTCCAGTTACCGTCCGTCCGTTGTCCGTTAACCAGCGATAGCTGGTTAACGGAAAAACAGATTTTTTTTTTTAGTTTTTTCAGGGATTTCAAATCATTTTATATAATATCAGACAATGGACGTCCGAACTAATGAAATTCATCATGAAACATTGTCAATCACCTTCAAACAATTAATTATCTTGTTTGGCGTCCAGACGATTTCAATGATACCACTTTCAGAGAAATCGAACGATCGAAAGCGGAAACCGGAAGTGGTTTTATCTTGACGGATTCGAAACCTTTGTGGCAGAAGGAATTTGAATTCATTATTTGATAATCGAATTTTTCGTTATATTTTTTCTCAACAAGCTTTTGATTTTATTTTTCAAAGTTAGTACCTACTATCTGATTTGACAAGTAAACCTCAATCGTAATTATAAATATTCGTGATTTCTAATCGAAAATTCTTTATATCGGACCTCACAAACCGTACCGCTTGTTTATCAAATCTGAGAATAAATCACAAATTTCTTCATCTGATTTTATGAAGTAACGTTCATTACTTTTGAAATTAACATTTATCATTGTTATAAATTAGTTCATTTGAAATAATTTCATTTTAACCCAGTAAACCACGCGCTTTATTATAAAGCTATACATAAATGAAAATCTAGTAGGTGGTAGAAAAACTGACCCCAATTCCATAATCATTGATAATATATCTGATTTCCCGTAGGAACTATTCTAACAGAATACATTTTCACCTGAAATGATTCATTTTATAAATATATAATATCCCTCCGGTTATCAACTAGACCGACCGCCACTGTTTTATGGTCCAACCGTAAACAAAACACAGTTATGCTGCCTTCAATGTAAGGATGGAAAAGGCCTCTCTATTGTCTTTTGTTACTTTAAGATTCAAATATGCTTACGCATCAAAGTTTCCGCGTCCTGTGCACTCGCCGTATTAAGGCAGGGACACATATACGCGGTGGCGGTAGCGGTGGCGACAGCGGTGGCGGTGGCGGTAATCACTAAACACATACATGAGCGGTAGCAATGCGGTCACTCATGCGGTATAGTCTCTCAAAACATCCATTTGGGAATAATATTGGGTAGATATACTTATCCATCCTATGGATTTCGAAGAGGAAGTATTACTTTTGGCAGCCGCCAATGAAGAAGAACAACGGGAGTTGCTCCATCAGAGGAACCGAAGGTACGTTTTGTTCAAATGTGTTGGATGAAAATGTGAATTTTCTTAATGTTATTNGGCGAGAAGCAACGTTTCCTCTTCAAAATCCATATCGTTTCTTACACTTTGAACGCATTGGTGTGCGGTGGTTTTGTTCGCTTTGCGACCGCATCGCCACCGCGTCCGCCACCGCGTTCGCGGCCGCTCCGGTTTGCGCGAGCCTTTACTCATGACAATCGTGATTATTCCATACGATATGACGTAATTTTCATTTCCAAGGAGGCTCTCAACAGAAATGAATTCTGAAACATTCATTAACTGTTTACTTAATCATTATCAATTTTCTGTTTACTGGTATTTTAAGTCTTCATCCGCTGGATTCTGATAACGTACAAACCAATACTCCATTTCATTATTACCTAATAGGTAATATTCGTGAATTATGAATGACGAGTACTATCTGTTTCACATACACTTTTCAACATATAAAATTTCCCAATAACTACGCTGCCAAAACACATACGAATCATGACGTTTACGTTTATACACACTTGAATTTTTTGGGAAACACCCAAAATGGTACCGAATTACTTTTTAGATGCTCGTTCATATGACTATCATGAATAATTCTGAATCTGTTATTTCACCAGCAGAAATGAAATTGCTATTAGATAATGAAACAATCAGTCTTCTTTTGTTTGGTAATAATTATATTTTTCATGATTCAAGTAAGGTTTCACAGCTCGTAATATTGAGCGAAATTGTTACTTTCAAAATAAGGTGAATTGATAGTGACAAAACTTGTCAAAAAAATATCATCAATCAGCCTTTTTCAAAATGTCAAGTTATTTTCATTAATGATTCCAATTAAATCCATAATATTGTTTGTAGACTCGTAATGGGAAATGTTTTATTTTCCGAACTCTTTGATCATGAAAGTAACCCTTCAAGTGAAGAAAGCATCATCAACTTATCTGATAACTGCATCAAAATGCTCGTTAAAGGTAGGAAAATTGACGATTTTTCAAAGTGTCGTTCATAAATATTGTTTTCAGGTGTGAGCAATGAAAAATCGGAACCTCCAGCAGACAATACAGACACCACCACCACAGAAGACGTTGAAGAACGGCCAGATGACGAATGGATGAAGAAGCTTAAGGTGATGGATGATGTACACTCGAACACCAATGGCTTAACGTTACCTGCAGTAAACGAACTTTTGGATAAAGTAGAATCACAGGTTGACAAGATTAGGCCACAAGTTTGTTCCACATTTCTGGTAAAAAATAATTTTGATAATTTCATTTCATTTCATTTGAATGTAAAGTCATCGCCTTTTTAATTATTTTTTTTTCATTAACACGCTTTTATTATTAGCTTCACCTGTATGTATGTTTGTTTGTTTGTTTGTAGCTTTTCTTTTCATTTCATATTTATTACCGATTGAATGCTCGGGATTTGTATTCGACAGAATTATCGACATTATTGCTCGATCTATTCGCAGGCAGATGGCGCGTAACCTCCTTGACATAATTCGAACTCACTTTACATGTATTTTTTCATTTGAAAAAAGTATGTTTTTTATCAACACACGCGCTCGCTGCCTTATTTGGGCTTGGTAGCTGATTTTCAGGCTCCCTCTCAGGAATCGGAATATATCAATGGTCATTTTTCTAAACAATATAAGGCTGATTGATCCCAAAGTTTAGATAAAATAAATACCTATAGTTCAAAAAGACTGAAAAACGCACTTTTATAGCATACCAAACTAAAAAATTAAAAATAAATATAGTTTAAAAAACTAAAAAACACGCTTTTGAAGAACATCGAACTAAAAAGTTGAAAATTTTTTTTTTACATAAGCTTAAAACAATAACGAACGAAAAATATTAGTATTATTGTGGAAAGAGCGTGAGCGCTCTGTGCCATATTTTTTGTATATCAAGCGCCCGTCGCTTTTTTTAGTTTTTTTAAACTATATTTATTTGGTCTTGTCTTTAATGCATTTGAAGGGAGGTATTTAAAGAATGATTTAGTTTGCTATTCATGTTGTCTTGGCTTGGCAAAACTGGATATTTAGCCAGAGGGCTCACCATTTTTTTGTCAATTCTCAATATTTTCTACACTCAATTTCCGCGGCCCATGCTCACCAGGACGAAAAGGTACAGGAGCTGAATTGTATTTTTCCAGATGAAAGGAACGATACGTTATATCGCGCCAAGATATATTGATATCCAACAATATTTACTCTAGATCTTCATTAAAATATTAAACTTGTCACCAAACACATGCTTCAATATCTGATGTTGGAGTGACTAAATGAAAAAAGAGGAGAGTGTTGTCTCCTGAAAAGTAATAGGTATATGGAATTTCTGGTCTTTCATTTGTCATTGATGTACCTACGGTTGGAGACATTTTGAATCCCCTGAAAACACCATCGTTAATGGTAAAAGAATCCAAGAAAGAATCATCTTTGGTTTCTAGTATGGAGTGCTATTTTTGTGAGAGCTGGAGAGCCACGCACAAAAACGATTCGGTAACACTGAAGTTTAATAAATGTTCATGACAATCGCATTCCAATGGCCTTAAAAATATAAAGCAGAGAAGTCGAGACTCTGAGTGCTTCCAATTGCATCATTCCAAAGTTTTTTTCAATGTTTCAGAATTGATAGTTGTGTCAGAATTCGTTTAATAGGACACTTGCAAAAAGTAATAGATAAGGTAAGGAATATATGAGAGCACTATGGATCCGTTACCTGACAAACTGTTAGGTATTATCTATAAGGGGTCGTTAAAACTGTCATTATTTTTTCGCCTATTGTGAAAGTGGCCTTTACGTCTTTGTTCAACTCACAAGCAAAACTTATATTGAAAATTATTGAGTGTAAAAGACAGACTTAAAAAATTAGTTATCACAAAACCTGTAATTTTGTTCTATGCCAACTAAATCACACAGTTTACAATATTGCGAGTGATCTCAGTAAATTCAAAATATTGAACAAAAAAGAACTACGATAGAAACAAATTCCTAGTCAGTGAAGAGTTCAGAAATCCACAGTACCAAATTTTGCACTTTTTGTTGTGTTCAGAAAACAGCCATTCCGCCTGACCAAAGATCAAAGCATTGCTTCAAGGTTCAACAGAATTCACAAACTACATTTTGTAAGAAGTCTTCGTTTTGAAGAATGGGGAATGGACTCTCCCGGACCGTTTTTCCGTATGCGTATAATCTATGGCGATCTAAATCCAACACACACCACTTTCGCAAAGGTATCCCTCGCAGAGACTTGCAAGTGACTTGAGTGGCAGATGATGAATCAAATTTGTAATTTCCCAACAATGAACTTCCGAATCACCACCATTCCAAACGATCTCATTTATACCTAAGCCAATCAAGACTGAAAATTAATACAACTAAATTTCAGCTTTTGTTGTGCCTGAAAAAGAACGAAAATTGTATGATAAAGTGCAAAAAACTGATAGACGAATTCATCGACTGTGTGGACAAATCCAGAATAGAAATAGTGAAGGAAAAAATAGAAGCAGAAACCAAAAATAATATGAGTTCAGGGGCGTTGACCAATGAACTCACAAAAGAATCAGATTCGCTGGAAATATTGTAGTATTTTTTATCAAAATAAACTGTTTTTTGTTCACAAATTTCATTTTATTTCGTATATGTACACTAATTAACAATATCAAATCCAACAAGAACAAAGTCTTCAATTCAACGATTTTCCAAATTCTTGAACTTGGCTTCCAATCGTTTTGAATAAGAATCTAATTTGTATGCAGCTTGTTCTAATTTCACCACGCTATCTTCTATTTGTTCTATTTGTTGTAGAAGTGGAATTAATGAATTATCTGAAAACAATAAAAACCATAAATGCGCTGAGTAGGGTTTATAAAAAAGCTACCCCAAAATACATTTACAGTAATCAGCTTTAATACAGGTATATTCATGTATTCAAATGATGCTAAAAATATGAAAATTCCCGATTTTCTTTATATTGATAGATAAGAAAGCCAAAATGTTTCTTCACAAAAATTGATCTTTCTTGAAAAATATTTCTGTTTTGATAAGCGAAATTCCAATGGATGCTTCTTATGAGCAGAAGTGTCTCCAAAGTCATGAAGTTTTTCCAAAAAGATGCCAATAGGGAAATGAAGTCTAGGGTTTTTCTTTCCTTAGAAATTTTCCCTATTGAATGAAAGAAAATTAAATTTTTGGAAAATATGAAAACTTTTCTAATAATAGTACTTTCAAATAACTTTCTTTCGTAAACAATTTTCTATACTTATTTTTTTTTTGAAATTTTTCTAATCATAGCAAAAATAGATATTCAATATAGTTAAGTACTAGGTACTATATTAACAGAATGTGCAGTGCTTGTGCATCTCATAAAAAAATATTTCAATGAAAATATCGAACTAGTATTCTCACAATGGTAATATGTAATTGAAATTTTTTTTGAATATATACTAGATTGCGGGTCTCTTATCAGATATCACTCAATCTATTTTCAACATCTCACCTTGAGAATGTGCACTAATGTCAAGTGTCATATATTATACCCACAGGTTTATCCTTCTGTGGGAACTATATTCATGTCGTTATCTAAGATTATTGTATATTTCAAATTGAATGGCAAATAAATATTATTATTAATAGTTCTATATTCAGATCGTGACTAGTTAAGAATAGATCATACCTAGGTATCTACGTCCAATTTTGTATCAAAAAAGTCCATCATTGTCAGTTAGAGTCAGTTACAAGGTTATTTATTACTAGCAGTGATCTTACATTGAAAATAAATATGCATAGATTTTCTAGTAGAAATTATTCTTTTACTACGATGATAAACTCTGGTGGCTCAAGGATTTTAAGATGGATTCATGCAAGCCAACTTTACTGATAACTGATTCAACTTAGATCTGTCAAATTGAGTTATGAAATTGAGCATTTATGGAAAAACTTGTAAAGATGTGAGGATATACACACGTTTCAAATTGCCTTTGACATTTTTGACAACTCGTTTGAAGATTGAAGGACTTCAAAGACAGGATTTATTAGTTTGCAAAGTAATACGTTGTTTTGAAATATTACGAAAATGAGAAGCTTGATCAGTTTAAATCCTTGATATCTGACAAAAATATGACCAAGGGCAACCAAACCGTTGTATAGTATACTGTTTTAGAATTATAAAGAAATGTTAAAATATGTCGTAATTTATAATTGATAAATTATGAATGCACAACGCTCCCATCATTCAATCTCTCAAATAACCAGTTAATTGCATAAATCCACCTTTGGAGTATATGTATTTATATTTATGAACCTTGGATCTTACATTTCTCATTTAATTCACACATACTCTTCTTGACATTCACCGCTAAACGTTTCATATCAGAATATTTGGTTATAACAGTTTGATTCATATTCTCTAGAAGCCTGTAATCATCTAATGTTGAAGTCAGTTCGCCATAAAGGTATTCAGATGTTTTACTGAACATCCTATTGGCCAGCTGGCTTAAGTTGGGATCATGGGGGTCCAAAGCCTCAAAGCTCGAAGTTGAAGTAGAAAGTGTTGGCCCTACAAAATCACAAATTGCACGGTTAATATGTATTGCCCTATAAAATGAAAATCAAAGTGCCCAAGAATTTCAATACATAGTACTCGTAGTAGTGAATTGGGCTTAGGAAAAATATTTCATAACATTTTTGTCTTTCTCTGTAGTACCTCTTCTAGGAGAATCTGAAACTTCTTGCTCTTCTTCAGCCATATTAAAATGAGTTATAAACTATTATTTCTCAATATTGCATTGAATAAAATCTATACACTGAACTTTACTAGTAAAACTGAGTTCAGTAAATCTATAACAGATAATATTTATGATAAACAAACTACAATAATAAAAACACAACTTAGGTATCAGGTTATATCCAGTGGCGCTACAGAAGTTCTCTTGAGAGTTTAGGGTTTAGGGAAGTTCTTAAATTCAACATAAAATTTCTAATGAATTGTTTCAACCAATAGAACTGCACTAACGTTTCAATTGGTCCAATACATCGGATCAATCGGTGGACTTAAGAACTCATATTGATAGCAGATCAGACACTGAAAATTGTGCACGTCTTTTGATTGTCTGTACTCATACAAATTGAGTGATATTTTGAATTATACGCACGTGCTGTTCTTGTTTTACCAGTACATCGGTAATATAATCGGTATAAATAATAAGCAATCGGTATATATAATAAGCAGGCAGTCTTGGAAATAAGCTGATGAGCATAAAAAAGTTGAATTGATATTTATTATTCATCGACCACTGACGACAGAAATAAGAAAGGTATGAATAATAATCAATAGAAGAAAAAGAGAGCATGAAACTCGTAACACAAAAAACTTCCTTCTTGTCAGAAGTTAGCTATTCGTGAACTTTAACAGAATTGTTCAGCAAAAGGTTGAAAATCCCATGGAATATAGCAATAAACTAAAACTGATTAAATCTTCTGAATCATTTCTACACATAATGATAGTATTATGACGTCATTGAAATCATCGAGTCTTATAGAACTGATAACGTCCAGTCCGTCGACATCCAGTTACTGGCGTAGGGAGCCGCCACTCCGCTCACTCTGTGTTTCACTCCGTTATTGATGAGAACGTGACATTATTTATTTCAACTACACCTCTCTTTGACTTTGGGCTCCACTCCGGCCACAGAATCTACGTGCCATCTTTGTGGACGGTCGTTATCGGCACAACCGTCCTCTGTCGCGGTCGGAGAGAAAGTCTGTCGGTGTCTCAGAATATAAGAAAATAAGTAAAAACGTAACTTGTTAATTTCATACGTCAAAAAGGACCATTTTATTACTGAATTAAAAGCCGGAACAAGAAAATTTGCACAGCTTATGTCAAACATTCATTCACCTGTTTATCAGGTGTAGGACAAAGATAGTTTAGGAATATAGCTTGGGTAGGATTACACTCCAGCGAGTCTGAGCAATTCTATTGAAATTTAACCTTGATTTATATAGCATGCGCACATGCAAAAGTTATGAAATCGCTTAATATATTTCTGAATTTTAGTATGAAAATGACATGTGGAATAGCAACACCGCAGTGGAATGAATATTTCACTGAAAAACTCCCCGCCTCATATTTCCTTTGTATCACAGATCACAACTAAAATGATGTTAGTATGTTTGTTGTGATCTGTGCTTTGTATATTTATTTTTACTATTCCCATATGTATGGTGAAAGTTGTTTATTTGTAGTTAATTAATGCACCATGTCGTGAAGTACATTTAAATCAATATTAAATAAGTTCCACTTGTATTTTTCAAGACTATAGTAAACATTACAAAATGTTATCCCCTGAAGAAACCATAAATGATTCAGAACCTCCAGTTGCTTCCAGAGGTCTCTTGAGGAGAATTTCTGGTATTTTCAACCGAAATCAATTGGGATCTTCAACTGGTGGTAGCTTAAGCTACATAGAATTTGGGACAATCGAAGAGTCGAGTACTCGAACATTAGGAACCTTTGCTGGTGTTTTTTCCCCAGTGACATTGTCAATGTTTTCGGCCCTCATTTTTCTAAGAATGGGTTAGTATTCATCAGTCAAACCTGAAAAAACAGTTTTTGGCTTTCTACTCCAATATATGGATGAAAAGAAAATATCCAATGAAATTGAAAATAATATTCAAATAAGAACCATTGTAGTTCCTCAGAAAAACCTGGAGAAACAATCTAGAACAAATATACTCTAAGAATATTCAATGAAAGAAATAACTTTTTATCTCGAAAATATATATCTATGAATTGAAATAGATGAGTAGTTTGTTATAAAATATTCACATGAAACACATTTAATCTCAAACTGGATCCAGTGCTTCTGTGGGAATTATTTGTTTCAATATTCTCAAAAATCATTCTAACCACCAGTTGGCAGCTTCTCTATGAACAACCTCAGTAGTCTTCTAGAGACTTGTGCCAGAAATTAAAAAAATAAAAAGTTGAAGTCATACCTTTCGACATCTGATTCCTAGTATGAGTCAAACAGTACACACTGAAAAGAATTATCACTGAGTAATTCACATATAATACTTACTTGCTCACAGCGTAAAGTCACAAAGAGATTTTTTTAATCTTCAAAAACAAACTGGGTTTGAATCTGCTCTCAATGTAGCAGTGACTCCAACCAAGTGACACTGAAAATTCATACATCACTCTTAAGCAGTTGAAACAATAATTATCAGTGGCAACATTCGTACACTAGCATAGATATTATATTAATTTTTTTTTGTAACAAATGAAAAATATGAATTTTTGCTATTTGAAACTTGCGAATCAAGACTAATGCATGAATCCACATGTACATTGTGGGTCCAGTTTAAGATTAAAAGAGATATTTGTATGTTTCAAGTAGTTTTCTCTTCTTTCTCTTTATCTATATTTGATGTAAAAATTGCGAAAAAAAGTGATGTCATTCATTGTCATTAAAGGGAAGTAGTTATTCCAGATGTACTTTTTTCAATCTATGGATCCTCTGTACATCCCTCAATTTTCATTGATATTCTTTTTTTTTGTTCCTTTTGTTTGGAAATTTTCAGTTTTTTTATAGCCGTGTCACGAAGTGTTCTGGCGATGCATTGAATTTATTGGAGCCTCTGGAGACACCCTACATTTTGTTTTATAAGAGAGAGGACATTGTTAGATCAAGATTTTCAGATGATGTGGTGCTGCAGGTTTTTCCGGGTTTTCCTGCAGCTGAAAAAGCAAATGCGCCACTGGAATCAATGAAGTCGCCCCGGAGTGCCAATTAATTTTTATTGTTGTTTTAATTTTATTTTTATCGTTGTTTTAATAAAATGGAGAAGTAGAAAAACAGAAACCAATTTACTTTCAGGATATTTAGTTGGAAATGCAGGTTTATTAGTAATTTTACTACAGTTCGCCATAGCATATGCCATCTTGGTGTTTACAGTCATGTCAGTGTGTGCTATATCTACTAATGGAGCAGTAGAGGGAGGAGGAGCATATTGTATCCTTTTCACAAAACTTCATTAATATTCATCGTGTCATAATTTTATATTAGATATTGTCATGATTTAAAAGAGTCTTAGAGAAGGCTTGATAAGGGCACTTGAATTAACATTAAATAATTCACATATGAAATAAAAAGATCAAGTCAATTATACATAAATAAGTGGATAATTAAATAACCTTCATGATCTAGTAATCTAGTGCATTAAAAAGAACTTATTGGGCATTTCTGAGAATAGAAACCTGGGTCGGGTAGGAAATCTCAATTTTATTTTAGGTTTATGTTTGTATTTAGAAAACTTGTTTTTTAAAATAAGTCTGAATATTTTCTTAACAACATATTCAGTTATGATAAGCAGAACTTTGGGTCCTGAATTTGGCGGATCTATAGGAACATTATTTTTTTTAGCAAACATAGTGAGTAGTGCACTTTGCATATCCGGATGTGTCGAAGGTTTAGTAGAAAATTTCGGACCATCAGGTGAGTGAGTAATAATTATCTCAGTTCTTTATTGATTGTAACTCAATGGAAATCACACTAACTTATGCCCTTCAATCTGTTAATTTTATTACCAAATATCACGGTAGCTTTTATTAAAAAAATCAGTTATCTTTTTTTCTGTTAACCAGCTGTTGCACCCCTACAAAATACAAATCTCAAAAGTCAAAATTTGTCAGAGTAAGGACTAACAAGGTCTTACCTTTTAACGTGTGATTCCTAGCACATGTGGTGATTAACATATATAGTGAATAACATACTGCACAGAAAATCTCATGTTCAAAGGAGTAAATTTCAACTGATGACTCGAACTTTGTTACCAAATTATTTTATTTGTCAAATATTCTATGACATATTAGAGATATTTCAAAGTAAAATTCCTATATGAAGATTATTTCAAATGAGAGTTATATTGTCAAATTTTATATTGATTTCATAATAAGAAGCAACTTGAAAAATTGGTATACAAGCTCATGTTCAACCAATTGTTACACATAGACTTCTTACAAATTGGTGTCAATTTAAGCTATTTGAGTTTGACGACTTTAATTTCGTTATTAAGTGACCTCTTTAAAGGAAAATCAATTCCTTTGCTATATTGTAACTTCCTGGTGAAATACTCCTGTTATAACTTTCCAAGTATTACCGTGTTAGGAATCACACGTTAAAAGGTAAGACCTCGTTAGTCCTTAGCTCGCACAAGTTTCTCAACTTCTGAGAGTTGTCGTTCGTATGGGGGCGGCAGCTGAATAACGGAAAAACATATTTTAAACATATATTAAACATATATGTTTTCATTTTAATTTTTCTTTAGTACATATATTTTAAACACCACCTATGTATAATTCAGTTTGAAGTTTGAGAACAATTTGGAAGTAGGTAAATTTTTAAGGCTTACTTGCGACTAGAAATGATACAAACACTAATATAAAAAAGTGAATTTGCTCAGAGGTAGTGAGTTATGTATCTGGTCAACTGTGACTGGTACGAAGGTGTTGAAAAAAATATCAGTACCTTCTTACACAACAAGAAATCGTCATCTAATAAAGTTTTTTTCAATAGTCATAAGAAAAATTCAATTTAAAAAAAAATTACAACTTTAGCAGGTAACAAATGACAGTGGTTGCTTTAACTCAAAGCAAAGACACATGTCACCGAAGTTTATTTGTTAATCCATCTTACCTATCTGGCGAGTTGCTAAAAAAAAATCACAAACAATATTTTTTAGGGTATTTTGTGAAGGGCCTCATCCCCGATGGAAAATGGTTTGAATTTCTCTATTCTACTTCATTGAACGTTTTGAATTTTCTGGTGTGCCTCATTGGAGCTTCAATGTTTGCCAAAACATCATTTTTCATTTTGGTTGTGGTTTGTGGATGTTTGAGCATAACATTTTTCACCTTCTTTTATCAAGGATTTCTAGAGGTCGGTACACAAATAAAATCAATTTTCTTAACGAAATACTTGTTGAATATTTCAGGTTTCCATACCAGATTCTAATACTCTTATACAAAATGCAAGTGATCACGTCTTCAGAAATTATACAGGCTTGCAAGGTTCCACTTTGCAGAGTAACTTGTGGCCCCAATATGGAAGAGATTACACAGCAAAAGGTCAATTAGTTACTTTTGCCACTGTATTTGGAGTACTGTTCTCAGGGGTAACTGGAATCATGGCTGGTGCCAATATGAGTGGTATGTTGTTGACAAGTATTTTTACTTCCTATGAAATTGCCATTACATATTTCATGATATAAATTTATATAGTTCATACAAAATAAAAACCGATGAACATTAACTGGCATGGTTGAATTTTAGAGTACACCTTGAATATGTGAAAATATTTTAACTCATGTATTAATGGGTTGGTTGGTATCATTTGGGATGTCTCAGGAAAGTGTTTTGGGACCTATTTTATTTTCAATTTAACTTGAAAGATATTGTTACCATCTATGGATGTGTCTTCATTAACGCTTTTGCAAATGACGTCACATTGACAGAAATACTAGTTGACCAAATGGATAACTAACTAGAAAACTCAACTTCTACAACACAAAAAATTATAAGCTGTCACTCATTAGATATGAGAGTAATTCTTTGATGCAATTGTTATACAAGCATATATGCTCTATGCTTAGTGCATTACAAAGGCTATCTATTCGAGAAAGATATTACAGATTAGCGATGATTTTTATTTTGGAAATGATCAATGACATGCTGCAGTCCTACTTTAAGGAACTTTATAATATTGTTATGTTTTTCTCCGTTAACCGATAATTGACTACAATCGGTAGTAGCGACGGGCGGTGTGTACAAAGGGCAGGGATGTAATCAACGCGAGCTTATGACTCGCGCTTACTGGGAACAATTGAAAGAAAGCCCCAATCCCTAGCACGAATGAGGTTCAACGGGTTACCCGGGCCGCTCGGCCAGGGAAGACACGCTGATTACTTCAGTGTAGCGCGCGTGCGGCCCAGAACATCACAGACCCCTTATTGCTCAATCTCGTGCGGCTAGACGCCGCCTGTCCCTCTAAGAATAATTGTTTATACGCTGACAGTAAAACCGCGCATGTTGTCTATCGCCTTACTAGATCGCTTCGCGTACCGCACTGTAACTTCCACTTGACGGTGTCGATATGCTCTTGGCTAATGTTTATATATCATAATCGAATGCGGTAGACAATTCGCCGGAATTCCATCGAAGTCGGTAGCATTATTCTCGCTATATCTAGAGCGGCAGCGAACATGGTACATTCGCGCGCTCTTAGCTACGTCACAATTGGTTTATGACTACCAGTGGCGGCCGGAGTTATTTTTTTAGGGCATGATTTACAACAATATACAGGCATTCTACATATAATTACATGACCAAACATAGTGTCAGTTTTCACCTGCAAAAATCTGTGAAGATTTTATTGCATAAGGGTCTTAGTAAATTCAATAAACTTTCACAAAATCAGAAGGATTTCCCTTCAAAATTAATAATTCATTTATTCAACAAGCAAAACTTGAATTTGGAAATTGCAGGTAATGAAGTATGGTTTGTGATTTCAAGTACTTAGGTTTCATGATGAATGATCGTTTATCTCTTCAAGCTCGATTTGATTTCTTTTGCAAAAAATAACAAAACATCTATTTTTTTTCACGAATTTCATCTCGCTTTTTTCTAGCACATAAGTCGATTTTTTATATCATTATTATTATTATTATTATCCTATCATGTACGATCAATTTTAAAAATCTAAGTTTCACTAGTAACATACATTAGATCATTTTTTACATTTGGAACCCTCTTTCAATGGTCTGAATAATGACATATGCTAAAAAATACTGTAAATTTTCAGTTTTCTCAAAAAATATTCATTTATTTATGTTTTTATTTTGTCCCCTTCAAAGTAGAACCCCTCAGATATAATTGACTTCGCCAGCGTTTTTTCCAATCCTCGAAGCAGTTCTGATATGCACTTTTTGGTATGTCCAGGAAATAATCGCAGGGGGCCAAAACTGGCGAATATGGTGGCTGAGACATGATTACGGCATTGTTTTTGGACAAAAAATTACGAACAAGCAATGACGAGTGAGCAGGTGCATTATAGTGATGCAAATGCCATGCATTGTTTTTCCACAATACCGGACGTTTCATTCATATTGCTTCTCGCAAGCAGCGCATTACTTAAAGATAATACTCCTTATTGACCTTAAGACCATGTGGCAAGAACTCCTGATGCACTAAGCCAAGGTAATTGAAGAAAACAGTGGGCAAAATCTTGACATTTGATCGAACTTGGCGTGCTTTGTTTGGTCTTGGGTCTCCTGGGCTCTTCCATTGGAATGATTGGACTTTGATTTCGATTTCATAACCATATATCCATGATTCGTCACCAGCTATGACCCTTTCAAGCAAATCCGGATCATTCAACAATTCTTGAGTGAATCTCTTGCGACGGTTTTTTGGTCAAATTTAGCAAATTCTGAAACAAACTTTGCTGCCACACACTTCATACTAAAATTTACGAAAAAATCGCATTTCATGAGCCAACAGATATGCCAACATCCTCAGTAACTACTCTAATAGTGATTCGAAAATTTTCCATAACAATTTTTTTCACTTTCTCAACATTTTCATTGGTTATTGAAGTGCTGGGGTGTCCAGGGCGAGCGTTGTCATTCATATCTTCTCCTCCTCCTTCTGTGAAAAGCTTGTACCACTTGTGAACATTTTTCTTACTCAGAGTACAATCACCGTATGCCACTGTGAACAAGTGTTTTTGAACACTTAATTCCATTTATTACACAAAATTAGACGCATTTTCTTAGATCCATTTTTTTTGCTAGCAGAAAATTGCCGAACACGCAAAACTCTTGTAACTTTATGGTTCTTGCCAACAAACTCAACATTCTAAACAGCTGAAACTGTGACCATATGTTCGAAACGGGTGTACCAGCATAAAAAAATAAAAACATTGCTAATCGAATTTATGTAGCCCGCGAAATTTGAACATTTACCTTATTTTTTTTAACGGTCCACATATGTCATCCAGAGAATAGTTTTTTATCACGTATTTTTTTCTGTATGGAACTTCCTGGGGTAATATATACTTGAAATATGGTGTTACAAATAGCGCCTGTGTCTAGTGCTGCAGTATTTGTAACCCTACAAGTAGTTTAACACATTCTCTAGACGAATTGAGAGTTTTATTGTTTTTAGTCTTTTATAACTTTTAGTTAGGTTATTGAATTTCTATGTGTGATATTACATTTTTAGGTGAATTGAAAAATCCTGGAAAATCAATTCCTAGGGGAACACTTTCCGCTGTAGCTTTCACGCTTGTTATATACCTATCAATATCTTTACTGACAGCTGCCACATGTACCAAGGAACTAATGCAAAACAACTATTTGTTCTTGGCCGGCATCAGCGTGTTTTCACCTAGTGTTGCTATTGGGTTACTAACAGCTACCTGGTCTGCTGCTCTAAGTAATGTTATTGGAGCCTCCAGAGTATTGGAAGCTCTCTCCAAGGATAAAATTTTTGGTAATCATTTCATACTTTGGTGAAAATATCTTTGACAGTACCTAACTTTACGTAATTTTCAGGCTCGCTTCTAAATTTCGTTCCAAGTGGTACATGGAAAGGTAACCCTGTTGCTGCAGTAGTGGTTTCAGGTGTTCTGGTACAGTTGGTTCTGCTCATTGGTTCCCTCAATCTTATTGCCCAACTGAACTCTGTTTTGTTCCTATTAAGCTACTTGGCAACAAACCTGGCTTGTCTCGGTCTTGAACTTGCTGGAGCTCCTAACTTCCGTCCGTCTTTTATGTATTTCACGTGGCACACTGCGTTGGTAGGCCTTTTAGGAACAATCATCATGATGTTTGTTATCAGCCCGATTTACGCAGCATGCAGCATACTGTTGTGTCTACTGTTAGTAGTATTTTTGCATTTGTTCTCTCCCTCTAAAGAGGCACAATGGGGCAGTATTTCGCAGGCATTAATATTCCATCAGGTAAGCCGTTTAAGATTGCTACAGTGGGAATATGAGCGTTTTCTTTTTCAAAAACTCAACAAAATGATTTGTATGAAATTGAAAGTATTTTCAGCTTTGATCAACCTTAAGTCAATTCCTCTTTGCCAAAAAGTAAGAATAAACTTTATTATCTTTCAGAATATGTTTTTCTGTGTATTAATATTGGTTCATTCTTCATTTTTATTCATATTGTATTTGTTAAATTTATATGCATGTTTAAAAAAAATTCAAGTAGACTCATTATCAACTGTCTATGGGGTGTATGGAACAATATTTCGTTCATTTATGCTTACACACCTGAACAACTTGGAAAATTCATATTGGTTTTATATTACTTCATTCTCCATTTTCATTTATATTTTTTCAACTTATTTGCATGTTTTCAGAAAAATATTTTTCAAAGAGGACTCATTACCAACTGTCTATGAGATGTATGGAACTATATTTTATTCATACACTGTAACAACTTAGAGCATTTATATTGGTTTTATATTGGGTTATTATCCATTTTTATTTATATTGTATTTTTTTATATTAGTTGCGTGTTTTTTCAAAAGATTTTTCCAAGTAGTCTTTCTGTGAGATATATGGAACTATATTTTGTTTATTTATGCTTACACACCTGAAGAACTTGGATAATTTATATTGGTACATTCTTCATTTTCATTCATATTAATATAATTTCAAAATGAATTTTCCCAAGTGGACTCATTACAAACTTTTTATGAGATGTATGGAACTATACCGGGTGTCCCAGAGCTTTTAGGCCAGCAGATATCTCAGTCACCTGCAGAAAAAAATTGAAAAAAAATATGTATATCATAGAAGACCACCAGCACTTTCATGTAGCAGANCATAACGGAGATGTTGACGATTGTGGTTTCTTGGTTGTTGTTTACCAGGGGGTGGATTTTGCTATGCTGCATGAAAGTGCTTGTGTTCTCCTATGATACATATTTTTGTTTTAATTTTTGTTCTGCAGGTAACTGAGATATCTGCTGGCCTAAAAGCTCTGGGACACCCGGTATTTCGTTCATTTATGCTTATATACTTCACCAACTTGCATCATTTATATTGGTTTTATATTGTTTTATTATTATTTTTCATTTATATCGTATTTTATTTATTTGCATGTTTTCAAAAAAATATTTTCCAAGTAGACGACTCATTACCAACTGTCTATGATATATATGGAACTATATTTTGTTCATTCATGCTTATACATCTGATCAACTTGGAGCATTTATATTGGTTTTATATTGGTGTATCCTTCTTTTTCATTTATATTTTATTTGCTTAATAAATGTTTTAAAAAAAAATGCTTTTTCAAAGTAGACTCATTATCGACTGTCTATGAGACGTATGGAACAATATTTTGTTCATTTATTCTTAAACACGTGAACAACTTGGAACATTTCAATTGTTCTGGATGTTTTCTATAAACAAAACTTCTCTCTTCAATAAGATGATAAATGGATAAGAAAACTTCACCTCCCGAAGACGCCAACTAGGTTGGTGAAACACAGGTCGAGAAGATTATTGCATTTCTAATGACTGGTAAAAATGCTTGTTTTGGATTATTTTTTCTTTTTAGTTTTCCCTTTGTTGTCAATTTCTGATGTTTTTTCATTTTTCCCGTTACAACTTTAATGAATGACTATACCTTGAATTGTTGTTGATTTCAGGTTCGTAAATACCTTCTCCTTCTGGATTCTCGCAAAGACCATGTGAAATTCTGGCGTCCACAAGTCTTACTGTTAGTGAACAGTCCCAGATCAGCGTGTCCGCTCATAGATTTTATTAATGATCTTAAAAAAGGAGGGCTGTACGTGCTGGGTCACGTGGAAACTGAGGAACTGAAGGAAAATGGGCCAGATCCAACCATTAACCAAACTTTACACTGGTTAAATTTGGTTGATCATTTGAAGGTGAAAGCTTTTGTAGAACTGACTGTTGCGAGAACTGTTAGAGAGGGACTACAACACTTGATGCGGTTGTCTGGAATGGGAGCCATGAAACCTAATACTGTTATTCTCGGGTTTTTGGATAGGCAGGATCCGCACGATTTTTTGCAGAGGTACATGGTCAATATTAATAATTCTTAAAATATTGAAATTGATTTCTCGACTCAGTAGCCTCGGTTTCAAAGGTTAAAAAAACATATGTTAAACGTAAAAAATATGTGTATGTCAACACAAATCCTAAACCACTAATGGATTGGTTGGTTGGAAGAGCATTTGGTTGGATGGAAGAGCAAGGTCTGCTCGTGTTGCGATTGGAACAATATTTCGTTCATTTATGCTTACACACCTGAACAACTTGGAAAATTCATATTGGTTTTATATTACTTCATTCTCCATTTTCATTTATATTTTTTCAACTTATTTGCATGTTTTCAGAAAAATATTTTTCAAAGAGGACTCATTACCAACTGTCTATGAGATGTATGGAACTATATTTTATTCATACACTGTAACAACTTAGAGCATTTATATTGGTTTTATATTGGGTTATTATCCATTTTTATTTATATTGTATTTTTTTATATTAGTTGCGTGTTTTTTCAAAAGATTTTTCCAAGTAGTCTTTCTGTGAGATATATGGAACTATATTTTGTTTATTTATGCTTACACACCTGAAGAACTTGGATAATTTATATTGGTACATTCTTCATTTTCATTCATATTAATATAATTTCAAAATGAATTTTCCCAAGTGGACTCATTACAAACTTTTTATGAGATGTATGGAACTATACCGGGTGTCCCAGAGCTTTTAGGCCAGCATATTGCATTGAAGCTGAATAGTAGGAGCTATAGAAGAGAATAATAATATTCTTAGAGAACGGTCCAGTTATTTGTGTTTTTCAATATCTGATCAATGTTGAAACATGAAAAATTGGTGTTTTGAAAAATAGAATAATGATTTTTTCCATTATAAAAAGCAAAGGCTTCAGGAGTCTTCTACAAGGAAAGCAGCCTTACCACTCAGGTAATGTGCAATTCTTTTCGTACAGTATCACAGACGAGATTCTTTTGCAAAGAATCACATTCGTTGTTTTTAAAAAGGTACTTGATTTTTTGCAAACCAAAACAATTATTCGAAAAAACCCTCTTGAAATAATTATTTTCACATGAAAATTACCTTTTTTTTGCGTAGTCAAAATTATTCAAAAATAATTTTTTTATTTAATCAATGTTTTTGTGGAAGAAGAATCTCTCCAAAGATATCCTTTCTTCAATTTCGATTTATAAAGTGTTTTAAATGTTCATTGATGACCTACGCACCTTCTTCCTTTTCAGGCAGTAATAATATGAAGTGACCGACTTATAGTTTCATGAGGTACTAAGAGACATACATTAAGCTAAAGAACTCCAGTTTTGAGTGGAATCTCAACATACTCATCATTATATCTCTCATGTTGGAATGTTTGATTTTTCTCTCACATCTTCAATTATTAGGGCTTACTTTAATTTCTTAAACTCCTATTATTGAGTGTCACTAAATTCCCTAGAATATACCTTATACTTAGACTAGTTCTTTTCAAATATAATAAAAAATAAATCATCAATTGAACTTTTTTTTTATTTTCAGTAATGATTCCCCCTATTGCAATCAAGATTTTGAAAATGATGTATTTCCTATCAGAAGTCGAAATACCTTAGAACCACTGGAATATGTTCAAATGATGAGGGACGTATTAAGAATGAATAAAAATTTGTGTTTGTGTCGGAATTTTTCCAAACTGAAGAAGGATTCTAAAAGGTATGAACTGTGTTGCTGTTTTTATTGAATGAAATATATTTCTAATTAACACCAAATGTCTTTACTTGAGATCAACACATATATACTCTTCTGCAATTGAAAGAGGAAGTCAAAACAGTTAACATTCACTTTTAATCAGAGAGAGCTCTTGTTTGGTTGACAATTTGCACTCAGTATGTTGAAGAGGGATAGCTATACAAACGTGAGTTGTGGGCTATTTCATAGATTTTGAAACCAATATCGAAGTTGAAAAACGAACATGAAATGATCCAAAATCGTTCGTAAATTGTTTTTAGTACATATATCACAATATAGTGTTAGTTGAATAAGAAATGCAGATATTTTGTTTGATACAAATTAATAAATAATCATTTAATGTTAATGCACTTACCATTTATTGTTACAAAGCACCCCTAATGGAGTTATATAAGTCAAATAGATAATGATGAATATTTGAAGAGCTTTAATATTATTGGGACTATATAAAGACCAATTTTGATTTCAGCGTTAGAGGCAAAAAATACATTGATGTTTGGCCTGTGAACTTCTTGAATCCTGGAGAACATGATGCTTTCGATACAACTTCCCTATTTATGATGCAACTGGCCTGTATCGTTAACATGGTTCCCTTGTGGAGCAAACTAAAGCTAAGGCTATGTATTTGCGACGAGGCTGTAACCAGTTACTTCTCTCTCACTTCTTCAGCTCAAAGCCACTCTGACAAATTGAACAATCTTCTGAAAAAACTGAGGATTGAGGCAGAATTGTTTCCCGTTAATGGATGGAGAAACGTCATCGAGTCGCATGGAAACAACGAGAATGCGTACATCAACAGGTGAGTTTTTCTGAAAGTACAATACCAAGATGGATAGAAAAACTCTGGGGTGATCATTAGGATCTCCTTTCTTTTGTAGAATAGTTTATCAAAAAAACTCTTGATAAAGAGATAATGAGATATCCAGGTTCTCATGCGACTGCCATTTACAGAGGCACTGGGTGTCACATCAAGTAACTCTGCTTAACAGCATCAAGTTGACAATTCCGTATTTATCTTTGTAGGTTTAAAAAAAATCAGTTTTTCCGTTAATCGGCTGTCGCCCTCATACGAACGACAACTCTCAGAAGAGAAACTTGTGCGAGCTAAGGACTAACGAGGTCTTACCTTTTAACGTGTGATTCCTAACACGTGAATAACAAGTGAATTATTATTGTGAATAATAATGTTCTGTAAATAATTATGTTATGTAAATTCAATATCTGAATGATATTTGTAATTTGGAGATTTGGGGCATTTGTGGAATGTGGTAATAATTGTTCAGTTTAGTGTGAGAAGGTTCTGACTCTTACATCTTAAAATAAGATGAAAACCTTTATTCTGTAATTTTTGCAATGCAGGCAAAAATTTGCATCAAGTTGTGATAGTAAAGTAGCACAGAAATCGAAATGGGGTTGATTTGAAAATAGTAATGGAAATCTGAAACGGTAAGCAACTGTTTACACGGGTATAGAAAAATAATTTTTTAGCAATTTCATTACGAATATATTTGAAATGATTTTTCATATTCAGTGTTTGATCCACGATGAACCCCAAATATTTGAAGTCCCCGACAATTTCAATTTTTTGATTGTATATACTTATACTTATAGATGTTTTGCCGATTGAATTATGTTTATTTTTTGTTGTAATTATCATTGCTTTCATTTTATTGACATTGAACATGAGCTTATTAACGTTGAGAAATTCTGAGGCACTAAATGAACGAAACAGAATGAGAAGAAATGAGTAACAAAATTAGAAACTAAAAACTGGAAAATAAAATAAGTAAAAAGTATGTTAAACAGTTTATTGAAAAAAAATAAAGATAATAATGATGTAGATAATATACTAAAAAGTAAAAAATAATTTGGAAGGCCCTAGGTAGCATTCATCACACCACACTCCTCAGCAATCTAGGGTATTGATCAGATAAAAAAATAATAAAATCGTAGAGTACTTTATTTGACCATTTTACATACAGTACATTTATGGCAAGTCACAAATATAGAAATCCTTGATCAGAGATAAAATTCATCTACTATGAAATATAAGTAAAGAATATAAGTATAAATAAAATCATAAATATAAAATCGTTGAAATATGTCACTAAAATTGAAATGTAGGTATGTTGATTTAATGAGGCCTTTCGTAAGTTAAAGATCCCGCCATTTCAATATATTCCTCTATATTATAGAAACAGTGTTGGAGGAGAAAGCTTTTGATAATAAATTTAAATTTAGTGAGGTTGAGTGATTTCACAGATGAATGAAGATGATTATAAAGATTTAACTTCAGTGAATTTATTTGACTGATAGTCAGATTATGTCTAGGCAGGTTCAACAAACTTGCGGACCTCGTTTCATATGCATGATTTTCACTATGTCTTTCAAATTTGTCAACATTTTCATGGATCTCCAGTAACACTTCATGAACATACAGTGTTGGAAGTGGCATAATGCCGAGTTGAATAAAAAGAGGACGACAATGATCTTTGTAACCTGCTTCAGTTAGAATTCTTATGGCCTTTTTCTGACACCTAAACACACTTATCGAGTTACTTGAATGACCTCAAATGAGAATACCATAAGAAATAACTGAGTGAAATAATCCGTAGTAGGCTGTTTTCAGCGTCATCAAGATGACCACATCGTTCAGTCGCCTCAAAACGAACAAAACAGTAGGAAGTTTGCTAAACATAGCTTTGATATAATAAGATCAGCTCAATCTATGATCAATAGTGAATCCTAAAAACTTTACACTTTTAGATTGGGAATATTGCGATCGGAAGATACGATTATATTTTGAGATTTATCTTAATTCAAGGTAAGTTAGCAGCAAACCATTTGTGAGCTAATGTTTTGCTATCTTACATCATTAGTTGTAAGCTAGTTGAGTCTTTACTAGATCACATTAAAGTTGTATCATTTGCAAACAATACATCCTGCATCCTACATATTTACTCAGGTTACGCTAAGCCCAACGATTTCATTATTTTTTTCGTCTAATCAATACCTTCAGAATTGTTTTTTAGTTTTCAGTACATTATCTACATCATTATTATATACATATCTTTCAAAAAAACCGTTCAACATAAAATATTTTCTTACTAATTTTTCTATTTTATTTTTTCTTTCATGTACAATTCAAATTTTGAGATGTTGAAGAGTAATATGGTGAAATTTATTGTAGGACTATATGTAGTTTGTTTTATATTTGCAATTTCTTTCTTTATGTATTTTGTATTGTCATACATTTGACTGTGCTTTGGCAATACATGTTTTTTTAAAGAGGGTAAAACACTTTGAACAAAAAAGCATATTTATTATTATCAATCACGTCGAGTGGAGATCTTTTAGCGAAACAAAAGCGAGTTGGTTGAAATACCAGGGTTTCTATGCGTTATGTGCAATGCAATCTTTAATAATTTTTTTTTTTTTCAGTGTGAATACTTTGATATTACAACAGACAAAAGAAACTGCTGTAACCTTCATTTATCTTCCTGTGCCGCCTTGTGATGATTCCAAGGCAGAGTTGTTTTATACCAATTTAGAAACTTTCTCGAAGAACTTACCTCCAACTATTTTTGTACATGGTGTCAGCACTGTTACTTCGACTACTTTGTAACAGCAATTTTATCATTTTGAAATAACTCATTTCTATTAGATACAATTATAACTATTTTATGAAACGACATTTTAGAAGTTAATCATTAATTCACTAAGGAGATTTTTTTGAGCAGAATTTTAATAAGAATATGAACTGATGTTTGGAAGACATATACTCAGACAGATGATCATGTATTGAGTCTTTCAAATAATGATAACTAAAATTGGAATCTCTGGCTCTCAACGAGCATTTCCCTAACCAAGTTAGCAGAATCAGGAGATGACTAAAACGCCTGCAGCTATGTTGGTGTTTTTATATTTTGTTCCTAGTATTTGATTATCCCTAATGTTACTCACCACCTTTTAGCTGTTTTCTATAGGGTTTGGAAGGGGACCTTTGATGCTTTTCATAGGTTTCATTCCATGTTTTTTTATTTCTATACTTTCGAAGGCATCTAAAAATCTTATCATGTACTGGTCTCAAAATTTGACAGTGATCACTTATTTTCTGGACGTTCTTTTTATATAACACGTTTTCAATATTCAGTTTTCATAGACCAGAGAAGTCTAGTGTTGCACAAAATGTCATAGAGAATGACCGCAGATTAAGTGAACAATGCTTGGAATTGCAGAGACTGGTATATGGCAAAAGGTTTTGAGATGCCTTTGAAAGTTTAGAAATTGAAATGTGTGAAATGAATTCAATTATTGGTGACAAAGATCCCATTCCAAACATCTCCTTTTAAGTCTCTTAAGTAATAAATACACGTAAAGGGTAGGTATCTATATACATATAAGAACATTAACATAGCCATAAGCTTTAGATTTAGTCATCTCCCAATGGTACTAGCTTTGTTAGTGAAACGTGCCTCTAGAGACAATATTCAATAGTCAAAATTTAAAATAATGTTACCAGCTTCATCATCAAAATCAGCTTGAAATATCACAAGTACATTGCTGAAATGTCGAGGTTGAAAATGAATGATTCTGCAAAATGTCAGTTCACATTCTTTTCTGTAATAAGAGAACCTTATTTTATTTTATTGATTTTTTGGCTGTTATGTATAGTCAAAAATGTTTATTATAGTATTTATACATGTAAATGTTTAAGGCGGTATTTCTATGGGTGATTTTAAACAAAAAATGTATAAATTCATATCCTAATTCATAACAGGACGTTGATCTTTTAATATTTTCCTAAATTTTATTATTTTAACTCGTACATTTCTCAAGCTATCAAGTTCAAACTTAACACACAATTTTCTGTTATCGTTCTCCACAAAGAGAGAGTTCTTTCAAACCTTACGAATTTTTTGTTTCGACCTCTGATTACTTGAAATAAAAACAGATTGCCCATTTTGTGTTCAAAAATTCTTTTCTCTTGCTCAGTTGTGATATTTTACTCTGCTTAGGAAATATTTGGGGTAATAGCTCACATTTAAAACTGGAATGTTTCATATGAAATCTGTTTTATAAAAGATTTCAATTGATGTTTAGTAAAAAAACATGCATATATTGCCAAGAAACATTTACAATAAACAGTATTTTTATTTTGTATCCTTTATAAAAAATGAGAAATAAAGGTACACAAACAATGTAAATTAATAATGTTCTTATGATAACTGTTGAACAGTTATGAAAATTGTCAACAATTTATGAAACAAAGGTACAATAAACAACAAAATCATTTCAATTCCCTGATAAGAATTGTGAAAAGTGCCGTTGACAATGTTTCGTGGTATATTTCATTAGTTTGAACTCCCATTGTCTAATACGATATAAAATTATTTGAAATCCGAATCAATAAGATGAAAATGAATAGCTGAAAATAACAATTATATTAAGTGAAAAAAAACCCTAAAATGCAAAAAATTTAAAATTGAACATGAACCATAAACCTTTCCAACCTATCCTATACCTATTATGGTAAATTCGGTGTGAATATTTCCAAATTATAACACTAAAGTGGGCTCGTCCACAGTCTTGCATTAGTGAAATTTCAATTCTTGAAATTATTGGAATATCTTCAAGGAAAATGGGAAATTCTTTTTGTGAAAATTAAGATTGTTTGACTGTCTATACAACAAGGTAAAAAGAAAGGACTTGTGGCCCAGAAGCTAACAGAAAAACTGCTATTAATAGATTTATGCAATGCAAGGGAATTTTTCTCAGGCAAAAAATTATTATTATGGAAAGTCATAGTGACATAAAAGTAAGGAAAACTTGAAATCCAAACTGAATTTACTACTAGTTTCTGAAGATACTACTAGCAGAAAATAATCAGTATCAGAAAGTTATAGAAAAGCAGTATAAATTAGATTATGAAACAATGCCACCATCCACTTGGAGTATTCTAACAATACAATAGAATTTCCATTTCCACAACCACACACAAATTTTCAACATTCTCATTTGAATGGAAATTTGAACATGTATTAGTTTTCTAACCATTTGAGATATCCTGAATGGTGTAAAATATCAAAATCAAGCAAGAGTCTAAAATCTTTGAACACCGAATGAGCAATGTGTGTTTTTTTCAGGAAAAATAGCCAGTGACGTTTTGAAAAAATTCGGAGGATTGACAAAAAAATTATCCTCTAGAAAGTTCAATACTTTTTTATAGCCATTTCTATTGCATTGAAGCTGAATAGTAGGAGCTATAGAAGAGAATAATAATATTCTTAGAGAACGGTCCAGTTATTTGTGTTTTTCAATATCTGATCAATGTTGAAACATGAAAAATTGGTGTTTTGAAAAATAGAATAATGATTTTTTCCATTATAAAAAGCAAAGGCTTCAGGAGTCTTCTACAAGGAAAGCAGCCTTACCACTCAGGTAATGTGCAATTCTTTTCGTACAGTATCACAGACGAGATTCTTTTGCAAAGAATCACATTCGTTGTTTTTAAAAAGGTACTTGATTTTTTGCAAACCAAAACAATTATTCGAAAAAACCCTCTTGAAATAATTATTTTCACATGAAAATTACCTTTTTTTTGCGTAGTCAAAATTATTCAAAAATAATTTTTTTATTTAATCAATGTTTTTGTGGAAGAAGAATCTCTCCAAAGATATCCTTTCTTCAATTTCGATTTATAAAGTGTTTTAAATGTTCATTGATGACCTACGCACCTTCTTCCTTTTCAGGCAGTAATAATATGAAGTGACCGACTTATAGTTTCATGAGGTACTAAGAGACATACATTAAGCTAAAGAACTCCAGTTTTGAGTGGAATCTCAACATACTCATCATTATATCTCTCATGTTGGAATGTTTGATTTTTCTCTCACATCTTCAATTATTAGGGCTTACTTTAATTTCTTAAACTCCTATTATTGAGTGTCACTAAATTCCCTAGAATATACCTGATTTTGAAACCTTGTTTGTATTTTTTTGAAATGATTTTTATAATTTTTTGACATGGCCTATCGGAAATCCTGTGATATGAATATTATAAAGTGATAATTGACATGTATAGTAAATTGATTTTATATTTGAATATAGTATTATTTTCGATCAATTATTTTCATTTATTTCCTTGAACTTACTAATTACATTATGAAATCAAAAAATGATTTAGTAGCAAGTGGAAAGCAAGAGTTGATAAGTTTTGTACAGACTAATGGGCTTTCAGTTGTTTCAGGCTTGCTTCATCACAGTGAACCATTCACATATTGTGGTGCAAAATTGAGCTTTGACTATAGAAATCACTTTCTGTTTCTCTCTGCAGTAGGTAACAATAGGTAATTTTTCTTTAGTTAAAAGATAGTTGTGTGAAGAAAATGTTTGTTAATGTTTGGCTTTTTCTCTCAACCCTTTTTTTTAATCAAAACTTCAGAAAAGCATAACTATTCACAGACATATCGAGCCAGAAAAAAAAACTCATCTGTAATAACTAATTTCCTGGAAGAGATTCAACAGAAATCTATTTTTTTTCTTCAACATTCAAAAAAAGAACTGAATAGGATATTATTTATAAGAATATATCAGTGAAAATATTAATATAAAATTTCATCTACACTAGAATTTTATCTCCATGTGAGAAGACTTTATATCGCTACTCCATTTATTACCCAGTGTTTTGCTTTGAATTATATATTCAGTAAATTTTTTTCACAATAGTTTGGTGTTCAAGTCAACAAAGATACAGCAATTTCTACGTAATTCAATACTAACAGGTTAGGCTTGCCCAGTTTGAATGGTCTATATACAGTTAACAAGTTTTCATACATACTCATTTCTTCTCACATATTCTTTTCAAATTCACTTGTCTTCATTGAAATTTGTTTTTATAAAAAAAAAGTAAATTTGAAGAATAGGTTACTATACTTGTTTATTGAAACTATGTGTCAATGTTAAAATACAAGTATTTTAATTGATTGATGGATGTAGCCATTACTATGTGGTAGATCATCCCTTTCATTTGTAAATAAAGTTATTGCAGTTTCTTCCAACAAGGAAGTTTTCAAATGAATACAATAAACTTGTATTTGTTAGAAAATGCCTTTGTATCACGAAACTACAGTAATGTTAGTTACAAACAACAGTGGTATACAAATAGGAAGTTTTGATTCTCATTTTTCACAAGAATTTTAATTAACTCAATGTATGTATTTGTCAACAAATAGAAATTTGTGATGCACTGTTTGGAACCTTTGGTGTAGTAATAAATATTACTTGAGTTTAATCCAAACACCAAACCATTATTACATACTTCAACATGTGATGACTTGGTGATCGAAACACATGTCGGGGTGTTGAAATAACGTTTTGATGTTGGGATAAAACTCCAGTAATATTTAACAAAAAGAAATGTGAGCAATATAAAAAAAATACCTTTCAGAACAAAACTTCTTTAATTTTTCACGTTAAATATAAAACTTTAGTTCTGAATTACTTTTTTGCCTTCTTATCTTTGCCTGAAGCAGCTTTGGCGATGTCTTCGGGGTTTTCTACAGCGTCCTTCACTCTCTTTGCACGAATACCAACCAGGCGTTGATCCGCGCGTGCTTTCCTCAACGTTACGTATGCTTCAAACTTGGTTTCTTCTTCAGAGGGAACCTTTGCCTTTGTCTTGATGGATGGCTGGTGAATAGGCAAAACCTCACCATTCAACTGAGTAGCAACCTTACGCTCCTCTTCGGTAGCTTCTCCAGCACGAAGCTTCTTCTTATTGTGAACGGGGAAAAGAATGAGTTTGGATTTATATTCTTTCAAACGCTGAGTGTTCAGTTGAACAGATTCGATTGACTTGTTTCTTCGACGAGCATCTACTGAAATTCCAATGGTTCTGGCAAATCGTGGGTTAAGACCTGCAGCTTTCAATTCTTGAAGGGTGAAACCACGTCCAGCACGAACTTTAGTATGGTATCTTACTGACGGGCATCTTACCACAGGTCTCAAGGGTCCTGCAGCTGGTCTGGGTGCGATGGCTTTGGCTTTTTTCAAACGGTTCTGCCTTCTACGATGCTTTCGGGCGGGTTGATTAAACCATGTTTTCACAAAACGTTGCCAATCTTTATGGAAATGTCCATTAGGAATCATATTATTACCTTTTGGAGCCATATTTGCGGTTTATCACTACACACACAGCGCTTAAACCGACACGTGCTAATAGCGAAATGGAAGAGACGGAAACAGTGTTAGTGACTTTTTCAGTTGTCTGCTGTCAGTTTTTGTTCTATGTTCTATTCAATTTTTAGCGATGTGTTTTTTGTAATTGGAATATCTGACGCTAGAGGGTGGAACATTTGAAAAGAATCTCGTAATCGGCACATATGTTTTATGACTCGAGTCTCAAACCCAAGAAAAATTAGATTATTGCCATAAGGATCCGTAGTCGCATACTAAGGTTTTCATTCGAAGCATCCTAACTTTTTTGTTTCATTTATTCATTATGTTATAAAACACAAATGTAATAGTCAGCGCTTCATACTGACTAGTATATTCAAACCGAATTCAATAAAAAATGACAGAACTGACCGATACTTGATGAAAATCCATTATAACGCATACTTCAATGTAAGATTTTCACTTGAAAGTTTAGAAAACCGCGACATGTGTTTCGCTATACACTGGATTGGTGAGTGAGAGCAGCGTAAGCTTTGACACGAATAATGTAACGAATTATTCAATTCGCTTCTCCTTTCCTTCCCTCTGTCATCGCCACTCGTATTCTCGTGATTCCGATTAGCATTTGAAATATTTCTATTATTCGAATGATTCCTTTCTAGTTCTTGGGATATCTCGAGTTATTGCAATTATCGAATGATTAATTTGAATTATCCTATCACAAGCTATCCGTTATCCCTTTCCGTTCTCAAAAGGTAAATTATCACCATTGATTTATTTGCGATTGTGAAAGATTAAATATGCAAAAAACAGAGAAATATAGGGTTGAAATAGTGAACTATTACTTTTCTATATTCGACTTATAATTGTGCAAATGTGTAATACAACAATCATTCACGAGAGTTCGAAGTTTTCATTCAATTATTAATTGCAATTATTATTGAAGTTATAAAATGTTTGAGAAAATTGTTTAACTACTATAATGAATAAACTACTAACCGTGCGTTCCACTATGCGTTCGCAACGATCAACCAGTCGATGTGGTCGCCTCGAAAAAATCACTCATGACGTCATTATTTCCGCTCACAGCAAGCTCACAAAGACCCATCTGAAGAGATGGGTCGAAATCGGTAGTCGAAGTGGACGTTGCGAATAATTCGGCGCAATTTTTGAAATTGTTTTTGAAATATGACATAAATGTTATATGCCATTCGTAATTCATTTCCAATTTTTCAAATCATTCCATTATTTAATCTCATAAGTAATCAAAGGAATAATTACTTACACATAATGGAGTAAATTTAAGAGTAGCATAAATTTAGTGAATAATCTAAGTGTGCAATTAGAAATGACATTTTCAAAATTTACAGTGCAATATGTGATAGAAAATCATGTACCTGAAATGATTTTTGAGTTCTTCATTTGAATAACGATGAAATACATTCTCATAATCAATATGTGGCCCGAATTTTCGGTTTACAAGATTATAATTTTGGAAAGTTGCATTCCACTCTGGGGCATTATTCCGACGCATCAACAAATCTCCAATTGCCGTAGAAGACATTTTGATCACATTTAAACTTAATCTGTTCAACAAATTTACTGAAATTATATATATAAAAAATTAGTTTTTTTTTTTTTAATTTCAAAGCTGCCCGTTCGCTTACCAAATTAGAACGATAGAGGGCGCAGTAGTCTCTTTGAAAAGCGTTCTGGTCAACACAACCAGAACACATTGTCCGAGATTATCTCGGAGTGTCTGGAACTGTATGGGATTTTTGTTTCTGTACATCATGTTCTGAGCAGTTTCAAATATTGGGTATAACCATAGATAGTTCTGTGGGTAGAACTAAAAAAACATAATACTGTCAACCGAAATATTTTCATTTATTCACAAAATTGCTTGTCAATTTATAGATTTTTTGTTTTCTATACTGATTACGCCCCTGTAATTCGTTGGCTAGTGAAAGTTCAAACCTGTTTTCCGCCAAGAACTTATTTCCAATACTGTATGTTATTTAAACACTGATAAAGAACGTGATAATTTGAATTATTGACCTTTGAATTGTCTGCATACTTAATATATTTGTCATGGATTTTGTTTGGTAAACTGAATAAATACTTCACAGTATATACATTATTTATAACATACCCCTATGGAATTGTTCTGAAGTTTTTCAGGGTGTACTTATCTATTATTTGAAATATAATTGGTTGAAATGGCTTTGAAAGGAATCAAAGTATTAGAATTATCTGGGTTACTACCAGTACCTTATTGTGGGATGGTACTGGCAGATTTTGGAGCGAGTGTAATCAGGGTGGATAAGGTAAAAGCCATCCATCATTGTTTTCTATAGATTTAACAGAACTATTTTCAGCTCGGCTTCAATACAGATTTGGACTGCTTGGGTAACGGAAAAAAATCAATTAGTTTAAATTTGAAAAATCCCAAAGCTATAAATATAGTAAAAAATTTGTCCCAGCAATCTGATGTACTCATAGAACCTTTTCGTAAAGGAGTCATGGAAAGGTTGGGTCTGGGACCTGAGGTTTTAATGAAAGATAACCCCAAACTTATTTATGCTAGGCTCACAGGGTTTGGACAGCAAGGCTTGTACAGTCTGAGAGCAGGGCATGATATAAACTATGTAGCAATTTCAGGCCTATTATCACTTTTCGGAAGATATGGGGAAAATCCACTTCCCCCGGTCAATCTACTAGCTGACATAGGAGGAGGTGGTCTAACGTGTGCTATGGGAATACTATTAGCACTTTTAGAAAGGCATAATTCTGGAAAAGGCCAAATAGTGGACAGTTCGATGGTAGAAGGCACTGCTTATTTGGGAAGTGCAGTCTACCGAGGTCAACAACTCCCCCTTTGGGGTCATGAAAGAGGAAAGAATATATTAGATAGTGGAACACATTTTTACGAAGTATATAAAACAAAAGATGGAAAGTATATGTCTGTCGGAGCCCTGGAGCCACAGTTCTATAAAGAGTTACTAACTGGTGAGTTATGTGAATTGCTTCATTGATACATGTAGGTCAGATTCATTTTCATTGCACATGAATTCTTTCAAGCCTACGTTTAACATTTGAATGCCTTTCAAAAGACGAATAAATGAGCTACTAACAATTAACGGATATTATTATATGGAAAATCAATTTCAAAGAAATATATTGGAGACAAGACAGTAAATTTCCTCTGAAACCTAGTGAATACAGTTAACTGATATTAATACTGTGATTAGTTGTATCCAAAGCTCTTGATAAATTAAAAAAAAACAGTGCACCCGCTTACTTTCTTCGATCGAGTGGTTAAAAATGTACACGAAATACACCCTCTGTCGACCTACCTGGGCCCTTATTTTAACATCAAGTGAACTCTCCCATTGGGATAGAATTTTGTCTGTTAAGAAAGTAAAACTGAGACATCCAATTTTTTTCTCATTGTGAGAGTTCAGCTGATTTGAAATTAGGGATCCAGAACAAAAACCACATTGAAAGTAGTAGTAGTATCAGTTTAAACTGATGCAAAAATACAAGCATTTTATTGTACATACATTTCTTGACGACTTTGCATATAGCTGTGGGTACTGTTATAAGTGGAAGAGCAATTGAATGATGACTTGTCATCATGTAAATTGAACTTCGCCTTTTGTCTTCTTATAATAAATGAACTGTACATGATTAATTTGATTTGAATGTATTAGAAGATAATAAAGACGATATTATTATTATAGTTTTCGAAAATTTGCAATCTTTTTTAGAATTTCTGATATCAATTCAGTTTTCAATTCATTTGGGTATTTTTCAATTTGCACAGATGAATTTAGTAAGTAAACAAGTTGTTCACAAAATCAAGAACTTTTTATGATTTTTGTTGATACATTCTTCAGTTAAAACCCTTGGGCTTGATGGGTTGAAAAATATTGGCAACACCTGTTTCATGAACAGTGTAATAAAATATTAATCAAACATGATATGAATAGTGGAATATTTTAAAAAGGATAAATACATGACAGATACTTTAAGTTTGATGAAGTTGAGAGTTATTTCTGGTGAAATGTTCATAGATTTGCTCATTTGCCCTGCTATAAACATTGTGTTTCTTGGGAAAAAATAAATTGTTATTATTATTATTATATATTTGGGAATTCCTTTTGCAGGTCTTCATTTGACTGAAGAAGAAGCACCTCAATTTGGTGACTTTGAAGCTATGAAGAAACTTTTCACCAAAAAATTCTTAGAAAAAACAAGAGACGAATGGTCTTTGATTTTCGATTCCACAGATGCCTGTGTTGCTCCAATTTTAACTCTTGATGAAGCTCCCAAACATCCCCACAACGTCGCTCGAGATACTTTCGTTAAAACGGAAGATTGTTATGCTCCTAATCCACATCCAAAGTTGAGTAGAACACCTGGAAAATCTCAAGCTGTCCATCCAATACCGAGGACAGGGGAACATACTAAAGAAATTTTACATTCTTTGGGTTATTCCTCAGATGATATCAATAAATTGGAAACTGAAGGGGTTATTGAATGCTTTGTCAATTCAAAACTGTGATATTCATGTTTTGAGTTTTATTTTCAAAGTGCTTTTATTCTTGATGGAGATGTTTTAAATATTTATAATATAATATTTGTTCTGTTGTCTTCCTATGAACATCATTTTGAGAGCTAAATTAAATCCCGAAGCATATAAAATTGTAAGGCCATCGATAGTTTTAGATGTTTATGGATTTCAGAAGAAAATTCTACTTACATGCATATTTGTTTCAACAGATTTTTTGGTAACACTCAATTGAACAAATAAGTATAATAAATGAAATCTATTAATCTGAATGGAACTAAAGGATATTGAGGGTACTATAACTGAGAACTAACCGAATATACACAAGGAATGTTTAATATGTTGTATATAATTTTCATATCACAAAACTTAAAAAAAAGTAAAATATTCATTTCAATACTTTAGGCCTTGCATTTGTTATAATAATGTATGAAAATGTAAACTACTATAGTGTGTGAACATAAAAAATTTTCTCTGTTGACTTTTGAATGGGACAAGATATCAAGGTCGGACAAAATCAACTTAGTAATGCATCATTTCTCGTACTCTCCGAAAAAAAAAGGCAATACTGTCACAATGACCCTTTCTCAAATGACAGGGCATCGTGTGATACCTCTTTTGATGAGTATTTCAATTTTCTAAGACATTTTGTTTGTGGAATCGGTGATTGCAGTTTTATATTACTTTCAAGATTTGCAAACAAATGATTGATTGAAAACTCGCTCTAGTTTATTCCAATTCTTGACATTCACTGTTTACAAATTCATTCCTTACATTGTGGAATGTTAAAAAAAATCTGTTTAAAATCTGCTTTTCCGTTAAACAGCTGTCGCACCCCTACGAACCACAACCCTCAGAAGTCGAAACTTGTGCGAGCTAAGGACTAACGAGGTCTCATCTTTTAACGTGTGATTCCTAACACGGAATAATTTTGTTGCAAATTTTTTTATATCCAGGAATTCTGAAATCATAACTTGAATGTTATGTACCCTCAAAAAGATCTAGAGGTATCATGTCTGGAGATCCAGCGGGCCATTTTATGGGGCGTTTACCTATCCACTGGTTTAGATGATAGTGATTAAGCCATTTTCAAACCAGTCTGGTACCACATCTTGCTGAAACGTAACATCACTTGAAAACTCATTTGGTTTTCGCAATTATCCAAACCGGTAAATAGTGAAACACGATCTCTTAGAATGGCTTGCCATATCAACTGATATGACACCTCTAGATGTGTGACATTTGAGTGTACAACATACAATCGCAGGTCAATTCAGAACTCATGGATAGAAACAGGTGTGCATCCAAAGAAATAACCCCAGGAATAGGAAATTAGGAAGTAAATGGTGAACATTCATTGGAATTAACTAGAGTGAGTTTCTAATGATAGAGAACTGAAATACCTCAAACGAGGTATCACAAGACCCTCTTACGATTTGAAAAAAATTTGGTAGAGTCCTGATGGCGACGAGTGATGAAACTATGTCTGATTCTCCTGTTCTGTTTTTCCATTAACCAACTGTCGCTCTTAACGAACAACCACTCCCAGAAGTCCAAACTTGTATGAGATAAAGATTAATGAGTCCTTACCTTTTTACGTGCGATTCCAAGAACATTATTTGAACAACTGACCGATGAGCTGAGTATTTAATGGCTCAGCCAATAAACGCAATTTATTTTACACATACATTTAATGATTTTGTTGTGACACAACAATCCTCAAAAGTCGAACCTTGCATGAGCTAAGGATTAACGTAGTCTTACCTTTTAATGTGTGATTCCTAACATGGCTGTAGATATTGCATTGAAACATAGGTTACATATATAAAAAACATATTGGAAGCATCTAGATGAAAACCATAATATTAAACCAACTCAAGTAAACATTAACAAAATTATTTCACAAACACAACTCTGAAGTATTCTAATTTGAATGTTCAAAATATAGAAAACCCTGTAAAGAAAATATTTTTATTTTTTGGAACATTATTGTAGCTTTGAACCTCATTTTGATTTGAAAAAAAACAGGGAATTTAAAAAAAAACTTTTCTGTCTCTTGCTAGGAATTGCACGTCAAAAGCTGAGATCTCGTTAATCCTTAGCTCGCACAAGTTTTGTCTTTTGACAGTTGTTCTTCGTAGGGTGCGACAACTGATTAAAAAAACAGATATACTTTTTAAAAGTTCAATAATACTATCAAAATAGTATTTACCTTCACACTAGATTATATAACATAACTTACATATGAATTATAAACCAGGAATCAGACAGCAATTTGAAGTTCACTACTACATTAATTTTTTCAGATTGAAGATCAATGATGCCAACAAAAATCAACAAACCCGGTTTTTCCTCCCCAAAAAGTGACTTCCATTCAATATACCACACGAAAGACAACATTCACAAGCAAGTTGTTGATACAATAAAATTATTATCACTAGCATAAGCTATTTTTTCCGAAACTTGATCGGAATGTGATAACAATTACTTCAAAAAATCACCCAATTCAAAATGAACTAAGAAAAACTGATTTTAACTTGACTGAACGACCTTATTTCGATTCAACTTTTTCAATTAATCTCTAATACTTGTAGTTTAATTCTGGCAAGTTACTTCCAATACTCGTTATAACAGCAAGCCGAAAATTATTCATTGTGAAAATATGATACACATTTTTGGTTCATCAGTGGATCATCCTCAAAGGAGATACACAAATTTGTAATAATGTTGTTTCAAGGCAGTTCATGAAGTTTATGTTTGCTATACAGATTTTCTATCCTTTGGAACACTGAAGACGTAACTTCCAGGGTTCTAGGTAACATATCCAAGGCTTGTTTTATGTCTTCTTCGCCTCCACAAACCTAAAATAAGTCACTTGAATTGAACTTGATTCAAAAGAGCTCCAAATTAATAGGGAGCTCAAATATTTCATACCAAATTTAATTTAGACATCCTGTAGCTTACCCGTTTCAGTAAAACTTCTTTTGTAGGCAGTGTGTATATTGCAATCCTAGCACCATTTCTAATGAGAAAGGTATGATGTTTTGATAGAGTTTGGTCATATGCTTCTCTGCAGGCAGTGGAGGTGCTTTCTTCATCTTTGAGATCACCCAATTTCTTCAAAAACAATTGTATGAAATCTAAAAATGAAGGAAAATCAGCTTGGTATTAACTACACTATAATATTTTGTCGGTTCGTGAAATTGATGATTGATTATTCGAAGGAAATGGGGACTTTAAATATTGTAATTTTCTACTAGTGAATAATGACCTAATTTACTTAGTAGCTTCTACTAAACTCAATATTTTTGTAGAAAAATTGAATTACACGAAAGAAAAATACTTTTGAAATAAATACTTTTATATGAAGGTTGAATTATACGAAAAACACTTTTCTCTATTCTATTTGTATTCCAAACATTCCCACATATTTTGTATCAAGATGGAGAAGTAGAAGGCCAAAAACTTTCTTTCCCAAAAATTAATCTCTCCTAAAACATACCCTCTCAATTTAAACAAAGATTCCTATAGCTAAAATGTAATCAAATAACTGAATGAATGTTATTTATGTACTGTCATTGATGACTTGGGTGGATTTGATCCATTCTGAGACAAAAAGTCGTAATTATGAACGAATTGAGTGTTTTTTCTTATAATGTTATCTGTATTTGCTATTGAAGAGCTGATAATGCAAATGTTTTACTGTGAAACATTGGATGTCTAGCAGTAAGGATGACAGTGTTCCATGTAAGTGAAATTTAACTTCTTTCATTAATTATATTGTGTAGAAATCCTGTGAATGATATCTGATTTGATTCTATTACGAATGTTTGGAATTCAAACAGAATAGAGAAAAGTGTTTTTCTTATTATTAAGGTTCATATAAAAGTATTTGTTTTAAAAGTATTTTTTTTGCATGATCTACACATACACATCTATGTATAGAGTTAATGTTTTGAAATTGATTCCTTTCTTTCTTTGGAAGATTCCCACATTTTTGTATCAAGTTGGAGAAGTATAAGGTAAAATACTAACAATTTTCCCACACCTATTATGATAAATATTGAAATGTGCATGTAGATATGTATAATAGGAATTCATATTATATTTCAAATAAAAAAAAATTCCTTCATGAATACTCACCCAAACCTCTATGTAACCGAAGAAGTGTCCTAGCTCCTGATGTATAATCTTTTTTATTCAATAAATCATTCTGTAATTCATAATCAATCATTGCTTTAGTTGTGGCAAAATTATTCCCATTTTCTGGGTCTTTAAGAAGTTCATATAATATATCCATTTTCGCTTTGAGATCATTACTTACAAAACTGAAAACTGTGCCAATCAGAGTAAAAAATCTGAAACATATTGAACTTAGTAGATGTTTGAACTTGAATCACAACCATACTTATTCAGCTCTTCAAAACTTTCTAGGTAATTTTGTAGTTGTACGTCGTCTTCTTTAGAAAGAGCTATTTCAAAATTTTCATAAACTATTCTCATATCGAAATTCTTTGATTTTTCAGACATATCTTAAGACTTTGTGTGTATTAGGAATTGTATTATTGAAAATAATCTTTTTTCTCCTTGTTGTTACTTTGTCATACGTCATCTAGTATGACGTGGGTCCCCGCGTTCCTGTCATAGAATTCTGTATTCCTGCTTGGAAAAAATTATAATAGATTATGCTGAAAAAAAGTAACATTTGACAGAAATTTGTAACTTTTGAATGAATAGTACACAAGCGCAGCATTTTGCGCGAGAGGTTACAGAAAACGTGTGAAAAATTCTCTCCAATCATCGAATTTGATACGGTAAAAAATATAAATGAAAATTTATTTCATAAAATTTTATAATTTTGTAATGAAAAACTGAAAAAGGCGAATTATTAGACCTGCCAAAACATAAGTATACAGACATCCATGGAAATATTTTTAATGGTCATCATTTAATATTATATGCAGCAATTTTTCATTTACGTTGAGTCACGATTCTGTTGACTTTGGACGGCTTTGATTGGTTCACATTGAATGAATCCTTGGAGAAGAGAGCTTTAATACAGTTAACTATTGATTAAATCGGTCGGTCGGTCGGTAGCCAAGCGGTTCGGCGTGGGTGATTTATTCACTCACTCGAATTGACTGCCGTGTTGGTCGAAGGTTCAAGCCCTAGTCTGAACGATCGATCTTCAGTTGCTATCGTCCAACCCGTGTTAGGAATTACACGTTAAAAGGTAAGACCTCGTTAATCCTTAGCTCGCACAAGTTTCGACTTCTGAGGGTTATCGTTCGTAGGGATGCGACAGCTGGTTAACGGAAAAACAGATTTTAAAACAGATTTTTTTTAAATTGATATTCTGAATATTATTATTTCAGTAGAGGATAACATAATCAAAAAACATTTCCTTGTGAAGTGGAAATTGTAATTATATTTTCAGGGTTTTTCTGCAGCAACGTAAATAAAATAAATAGCTGCATTTTTGCTACAATTCCGAAACTGAAATGACCATTCCAATCGTTTAAATGTACTCTTCCAGGTACCCACTACTTATTATTCTGTTTCAATTGACCGAATCTTTTGATTTGAATTGAAGTGGCGAGGAAGAGCTAAATCAATTATTATTGGATTTTGTTAATATTCGGATATTTATTTTAAGATAAGTTTGTACTAGACTTGATGCTGCCCATGCTGACTCTGAAATATTCATTTGTTCAGCAAACTGGCTACTGCCCTTGAATCTTCATTTCCTATGACTATAGGTAACCAATAATATGCTCAGAGAAATTGAGTTTTCATTGAAAATATTACAGTTTTATGAAAGTGACGTTGAAGGAAGTTATAAATGTTGCTTTGCATATTTAATGAGTAATGAATACGATGAATTCAGAATGATACAAATGAAACGAAATTAGTAGCATAACTCTATGAAAGACGATCTATTGCAAGAAAATGGTTTATTCAGTTTTTGATATCTATTAAATTGATATCTATTAAATATGGCTTTCATTTTCAAATGACGAAATCAAACTGGTTCATCATTTTGAAGTATACAAAGTCATTATACGAAGTTGAGAAAGTTGTGAACTATATCATTCTGTGGTCGTTGTAAATACGCCAACGATTCATCGTTGGAATACGCCTTAAGTGAAATATTTTTTTGACACATTTAAATAATTTTGTGCGCCAAATTTGAATTTTCCTGAGGTAAACGTAAGATACAGGAAGGTTATATTACTTTCCAAATATATTTGATGGAGTGTTAATTATGAGATAGATGAGATTGATTTAATTAATAATGATGTATTAGTTGGGTTTGTCGATTAAGGGGTAATCGGTGACGGTGATCCTAACCTAACTTGTAGTATGTAGTAGTAATAACTATGTAATCTATAATTCATATACCATAAGAATTATTTTTTATATATCTCTAAAATCCATGAGGTTGAACAAGTTTATTTTCAACTCATCCAAACTTAGATATCTAAAATAGTTATAGAAATGCAACGTTTTTTAATATTTCATCATAAGTCATTAGTATTTGTGTTTATGTGAGTGTGAGAGCGAGGTGGTAAAAATATTTTGCCTTTCAAGTCGATAGCAATTAGCAATCCCAGCATCGTGTATAAATTTAAGCAGCGGGTAGTCTACGTGTTAAAAGATTAGTGAAAAGATTGTTGGGTAAGTTTAATTTTGATTTAAGTTCAGGTATATTTGAAAAGAATATTTGTCATCTACTGTTGAAAACCATTTTCACGAAAAAAATATTTTTTGATTTGGTCATTTCTGTAACATTCCATATTTGTCAGGGGAAGTAGTTGTTTCAGATAATGTATTTTTTTATCTGGTTTCCATTCAAAATTACGTTGTTCTCTCAAGGAATTACTGAAGAAGTAGAAAACCAGAATAAGTTTTTCACATTTTTTTTGTTAGATTTTAAGAGGAATAACATTTCATTATATATACCTAGATTTGATTATGAAAGCATATTTTATTAGTTTTTGTTTTATAAACATTTAAAGGTATCAAATGAAGTAAGTGGCAGTTTCCAGTTTGAGGATGTAATTTTGCTTCCATAAAGTTGGGCTTGTACATTAAGTTTTGAGTTTAAACTGGTCTTGATTGGGGACAGTTTTATTTTATTTGTGTACACAGATCCAGAAGAATTGTAATGAAAGTTATATATAGAGTAGGGCAATATCATTATTATTATAAAGTCACTGTTGAAAAATATTCAATTATGACAAGTTCACCTCCCCAAGAATGTAAATATGTTCAGTATTTTTAAATTACAAAATATTTGATTAGATGGTTTAAAATGGGTTTTTTGTTCAACCGAATGTTGTTTGTTTCCATTCAAACAACTCTCAAAAGTGGAAACCAATGCATAGGAAAATCAATTAATAGAAACAGTTTTGAAACGTAATTTCAAAGAGTCTTCCTCATCAAGTTTTGGGTGAATTGAAAAAAGTTTATAAAAAAGAAATATCAGAAGAAGCACTAAAACGTTTAACTGCTTTTGTCATACACATACCTCTGTGAGAAGGCATTCTCTGCTCTTGTATATATCAAAAACGAATACAGAAACGGGTTTCAATTGTATTCCGCTTTGAAATTACAACTAAGTAATAAAACATCAAAAAAACATTTCTAATTCAGTTGCAAAAAAGCAGTACCAACCTTCACAGTGAAAAGTAATTTTTTTGCATTACTAAAATAAAATGTATGAAAAGTATTCCTGTTTTTTTATTGAGGGGGTCCTTGAAATTGTAAGCGATTTTTTTAGGTGTCCGTGGATTTTGATTAACGCTGAACTAGAGTGAAGAAAAAAATGTAATGGATTTGTTTATTTAGATAATAATTGACATTTAAATAAGTACTTATTGTTTATAACAGGCATTTATAATTTTCTTCTGGTATCTTTTTTCTGGTATCTTTTGAAATTTTTCTTAAAATTTAGTATTACAACTTTACATCTTAATTTTTTCAATATTTTTTATTTTAAATTAAAGATGATGAATTTTATTTCTTATAAAAACTTTTATAAATAAGTGATGTTTTTTTCAAAATTTCCATTCATATCTGTTTTAATTTTTTTTCAGATTGCTCAGAACAACATCTAAAATGTGTGGAATATGGGCAACTTTTGGTCTGACATCTAATAAATTACCTTGTCACTTAGGTACTACTTTTGCCAAGATATCTCATAGAGGACCAGATGCTTGGAGAGTAGAATATGATGACAAAATGAAGGTGAGGCAAATCAAATCATACATCTGTTCCTAAATCACAAATTCAATCAATACTGGTAACCCATTCAATATAACAAATACAATAAAATCTTTACTTTTCCACATTTCAAAAAAAATCTTTCATATTTGAGATCTGCATCATTTGTTTTTATATCATATTACTTTTACTACTAGTTCTCAATATTATAGAATCTTTTTTATAGAAAATATTCTTCTTTTATTTCTCTAGACATCAATGTCAGATAATAAACTGACTCTTTGAGATTGAAATTTCCTGCCGTTTTTTATCTGAAGAAGAACAAATAATTATATGATATAAAATTTGAGAGAATCAGATGAAGAGACATGAATAGGGTATTATCATTGATATTGAGATGAATGTTTCATATTTTTAAGCTTCAATTTATGAAAAAATATATTGAAAGAAATTTCATCAGGTTTTTATATGGTTTGATCCATTTTAAATGGAAGCATCTTTATAAAACACAATAAATTGATTGATGTAGCCGTTACTACATAGTAGAAGATCATCATGAAAAATGAGAAATGAATCAAATCTTCTATGTATAAAAGCGGTAAAAAACATAAAATTTCATTTCTCATTTTTATTACAAAAAATATATTTTTAACCAATTGGATTTTTCAATAGGTAGAATTTAAACATAAAAAGATTATTAGTGATTTGCTGAATTTACTTAGTTTTGAACTTAGTTTGGAATGGTTTATGTGAAAAATTTTAAATATATGCCGATTAATTATTCCACCAATTCAATGTCAGACCTCTCATCAAAATTCTGACTACTCCCACTATTGGCGTCTGCAAGTTTTGTTTATCAGTGTCAGAAATTTCATCAAAATCTATACATCATTTGAAAAGTTATAGGTCAAGAAGATTTTAAAAATATGTTAGAATTATTGCATCAAACTATACTCATCACTTTTTGATGATGAACATATTTCCGAAGAAATTCTGGACAGTGACGAAGCAAAAGGTGTGGAATCCAATGGAGTAATCAGAATTTTGATGGAAGTTTTAAAAATGAATTGGTGGGATGAATTAATGGCATTTTTTTCAAATTCTACTCCCTTCTACTTGTTTAAAGACAAACGCTTTTCAACGAAATTTTGACAATTCATTATTCAAAACTATACGAAGCAGTAGTGTGGACAGATTGAAAAAAAACACAAATGATTTTTTTTATTTATATTGAAAAATAATGAACGTTGTCCTTGTAAATAAAGACTCTTTCATGAAATTTGATGTTTGTTCTACTTAATCTCCTTGTGATGTCAACTTGATTAATGAAACGTGCATCGAGAAGAGTGTTGCAGTTCTAGTGTTTGGGGAAAGTACTTGTTTTGGAATTATTCTATGCCAGAGGTTCCAGTTCTACTTTTCATTTGTTCTAGTAGGCTCCTCAAATGTCTATAAAATGAAATATGTGTTTTACAAGGGCGCTTCCATTTCAAATGGATCACACTGTATGATAAAATAGTATGTGTTCATGGGGACAGTACGCCAATTAATCTGAATTCTCATTCTTTCAGAATGCCTGTGTTGGATTCCACAGGTTAACAATTGTAGACACCACGTATGGAATGCAGCCCATGAAATTACATGTTTATCCCACTTCTATGTTGATTTGCAATGGTGAAATCTACAACTGCAGAAGGGTATGTCCACTTTAACTAATTGTTCATTAGATACATTTGGTAAAGTAAGGTAATTTGTATTGAAAGTAATGTTAACTTTTTACACAATTGTCTAATGAATGATCTTCAATATAATTGATTCAAGGGCAAATGTTTCAGGTGAAATCAGGTTACCTACTACAGAAGGTGTAGGGTCAGATACATAATAAGAATTTGTGTGATATTTATTTTTTGATTCTAACCGTAGTGAGCTTTTTTATAGATATCTTCATATTGCAAAGACATTGCAATATGAACTATTGCTATTTCATTGTTGAAAAATATTCTCTAGAAAATAAAAAAGATTACTTTTTAATTTGATATCATATTTTTGCAATCTGTTAAAATTTACTTTACTTCAAAAAATTAAAATTAAGATTTGCCAACTAATAATTCATTCAGAAACTAAAATATCTTCTATCATTTAAATTGGAAGGTGTATATTTTTGGGAGAGGCTAATTAAATAGAAAGGTTTTGGGTTTTTACTTCATCTTGATGCAAAAAAGTTGTCGGAATTTTCCAAAGAAAGGAATGAAGTAATCAATTTCAAAAAAAAGTACGTCTATACAAAATGTGTGTATCATGGAAAGAAGTAACTTTCAGACACAAACTGGAAAAAAAGCCCTCTCGAAACAGTTTCTATCATATAAATATTGAATTATATTAAAGAAAAATACTTTCGAAACGAATATTTTTATATGAACACTGAATTATACAAAAAAAACCCTTTTCTCTATTCAGTTTGTACTCCAAACATTCATTATGGATTTTAATCAGATATCATCCACAGTATTCTTACACAATAAAGTAAATGGAACACTGTCATCGTTATATGTTTTTTCCTTCAATGTTATCCAGATTTGGTACTGAAAAGCTGATAAGGCAAGTGTCTTACAGTGAAATATGGATGTCTACCAGAGAGGATGACAGTGTTCCATGTAAGTGAAATTTTACCTCTTTCATTTACTACATTGTGCAGGAATCCTCCTTCCTGAGGTTTTTCTAGGTCTACTCATATTATTGTTAATTAAATATCGTGGATTGATACGTTTTGAATGAATTCAAATAATTTTTTTTCACAATAGCAAATATTGTGTATCCATTTTTGTAGTACAGATCGTTATTGAGAGTGAGCACTAAATGAAATGTATTTGTTTGTTCATCTGTAATTTCTATTAGAAAATGAACAAACTGAAATTGAATGTTCAAAAAACGAAGGCAATGGTAATTACGAATAGATATAAATATGATCAAATAAACATAAAGGACATCTAAATAAATACCTCGGATTCATTATTGATAATCTGAATTTTCTCAAGCATGTCCAGTACATCAAGAATATCTAGTCATCTTTCCATAAACTGTCGAATTATTTGCTGTAATTGCATCATTCAACCATATTTTGATTATTGCAGCACATTATTATACTTACTCAATTTGAATGAAAAATATCAATTACAAAAAAGTAAAATAGAGGCATGAGGGTAATTCTGGGATGTAATAATATACCTATAGCTTTAATGCTGGATGCACTGAAATGGTTACCAATTATAAGCAGATTGTTTTATATGACTATGACATTCATATTCAAGATAAAATAGGAAGTTCAACCTGAGTATTTCAATGAATTTGTTATTTTGAATCATTAACATCCATAATTATTCTTCTAGAAATAGAGTAGATTTTCATATAAATAGAACAAATCTTAAAATGGCCATGAATTCTCTGTTCTTCAAAGGTTTAGATTTATATAATAGTCTTCCACAAATGATAAAAAATGCAAGGGCAGTAACAATGTTTAATCACAAACTAATTGAATACATCAGAAATCAACCCAATGTTGTTTATTAGACATACAATATTAGTGATTAGTTTTATATTCATGTGAACTCTTTTTTTTTCTTCTTCTTTTTGATTTTAAATACCTTATTGATGTAATTCTTTCATAATAACTACATACTAATATGAGTGTTAATTATCTAGTTTTATAATTATAAAGGCGTTTTAAATCTTAGGTGAATGCATTTTGAATAAGTTGAAGTTTTTTATTAGTGTATATTAGGAATTTCTATTTGAATAAACTACTACTACTACTTTGAAGCATATTTTAGGGAAAAAAGCTACTACATCACTAAAAAAATGTGGGAAACTTTCTTTGAATTTTGTCCACATTTTTTGATCTCTCCTAAAATATTCTTTTTTTAAATCAAAAGGAATATTTTATATTTCACCTTACTTACAAAATATCAATTAAATGAGAATAGTTTTGAATTTTTTAGCAATCATCTTCTCTGTTGCTGTTCATTGAAATCAAGTTAAGATTGTTAAAAAAAATGAACTTTCAACTCCAAGTTAAAAGAAGTCCAAATTCATAAGAAAAATATTAAGGAATACTCTTAAAATTTCAGAAATATGTGTGAAAGTTGACCAAGTTTTAGCCTATAAGATACACGGAGAAATAAATCCACCGATGAATCAAAGTTATAATTCATTACCTAACCTCACTAATAGATCTATTGTATGCATTGTTGCGATTGGAGAGACAATTACAATGTTTTTATTTGATTGTAGTTGTGAAATTTCAATTTATTTTACAGCTTCAAAAACAATTCAACTTTGAATATGAAACTTATAGCGATGTTGAATGCATATTCCATCTCTATGAAAATTTTGGTATTGAAAAATGCATTCAAAACCTTGACGGTGTGTTTGCATTCTGCATTGTAGATTATCCCAGGAATAAGGTATTTTTGGGAAGAGACCCTTATGGGGTTAGGCCGCTTTTCAAATTAAAAAGTGAAAGTGGAATTTTAGGAGTTTCCTCCGAGGCCAAAGGTAAGATAATTCGTAGATCACTCACAAATATTTTTTTTACAATCAGAAACAAGTGTATTTTCTTTTAGGATTAGAAAGAGTAGGGCCAACAAGAGTGGCTCTACCTTATCTAATTCCTGCAATTTGCTAGGGCTTATTATGTCTCACACCTATTCAAATTTAGCGAAATAAATCCAGCTTCTCAATGAACCCGATTACTTATTTGGTAGGTGAGCTTTCAGAGTGAGACTCTCTCAAACGCTGATAACCTGATCTGATTGGATGTGGGACAAGTAAAGACTATGTGCTCTGCTATTAGAGATCAGTTTCTCAACTAATTTAACTGGAATATAGTTATTAGATGCTATCTGCTTTATGATCTTCATTTCTTCTTGAAAAGCCTTCTCCGATGACGGATTCATTATTGCTCTATGTATCAATTATCTGAATGATGGACTGAAAGGATCCATGGGGATTGTACAGTCCGTAAAAGTGTTTTTTTATACCTACATGTTGAACTGAAATTTATTATTAATTTTATCGTGGAGAGTGTTGAAATTCAAGAAACGATTTATGTCTATATATTTATGAAACCCACGAGGATATTATCCACATACGAAATGTGTTTCTGTGATAAGGCATTATTCATGAAACACGTGTTTTTTAAGTTGTTCATAAAAATATCTGCTAGTAAGGGACTTAACGGTGACCCCATTGGGAGGCCCGAATTTTGCAGCAAAAAGTTTTTTTTATTGTATTTGAAATAATTTTGTCTGAGGCATATTTCAAAGAGGTTGTATAGTTCCTCAGTGATATATGGATTGGTATTCTGTTTATCTAGTATGTCTTTTAGCACTTGAATGTCAATAAATTAGTTTCTTTCAGTATTACACATCATTTGAATACTTTTTCACATCTCTCTCAACATGCAAGACTGTTCCAGACGATAGTTGTGTCAGCAGCAAATAATGTAAAATGACTTGACATATTGATATATGTCAGATCATGTGCTCTACAACAAGCTTTCCCAGAAAAAAAGTATACTGTTAAACCTCGTGAAGTAAACAATACCTGGTTCGACGACAAACTTCGGTGCAGAAGGGATCAACTGCATATGACGAATGATCTATACAAACAATTTAAAACACATGAACTTCGAATTGAGAGAAACAAATTAAAGAATTTATACAAAAAAGAAATTGAGCATGCTAAAAAAATCAGTAATGATAACCTAATAAATAATTCAAAAAATAAGGCTTCGTGTATGTGGAAAATTATTAATAATAAAAGAAATCAGCCAAATGATAATAATATTGAGATTTCACCGGAGGACTTAAATAACTATTTTGTTAATGTTACACAATATTTGGTCAAGGAATTAGATCATACAAGTAGGGATTCAATGGAGATACTAAAAAAACTTAACAACATAAAAACTAAATTCACTTTCACAGATATAACTTACAATGAAGTGCGCGATATTATAAAATCTCTAAAAAACAAACCTAGCAAGGACATTTATGGTTTTAATGTAGAATTAATAAAATGTATTACAGATCATATTGTTATACCTATATGCAAACTTATCAGTTTGTGTATAAAGGAGATCATATTTCCCTCAGTATTGAAAAAAGCTTTAGTGGTGCCCATCTACAAAAAAGGAGATAAAATGAACCCATCCAACTATCGGCCCATCTCGTTGCTGCCTATAATATCAAAAATTATTGAAAAATGCATGGCATTAAAAATAGCAGATCATTTTGAATTAAATAACCTTTTTACTAATTCGCAGTATCAAGAATAGAAATACAGTATCAGGAATACTAGATCTGACAATGAAAATAACTGAAAGCTTCGAAAGTTCTGAATATATAGTTGCAGTATTCTGTGATCTGAGTAAAGCATTTGACTGTGTTTCACATGGTCTACTTATTGAAAAACTGATAGTGTACAATTTCAGCTACTAAAGCATTGAACTAATAAAAAGTTATCTGTCCAATAGAGAACAAACAGTAGGAATAGGAAATGTGTTGTCAACAAGTAGATGCATTTCAACAGGGGTTCCACAAGGTTCTATCTTGGGACCTCTGCTCTTTCTAATCTTTATCAACGATTTACCCTATGAAGAAACATTTACCTCTTTCATCCTCTATGCTGATGACACAACCCTATTAACTACCTCCAAAACTATGACCAATGTTGTGAATAGATCGAGTGAAGCACAGACAAAAGCAGAAAAATGGTTCGATGCAAATAAACTTTTTATTAACAAAAGTAAAACACAAAATATGATCTTTACATTAAAAAACACTAATGATTACGAAAACTCATTGAAAAGTGCGAAATTCCTAGGTGTGTATCTTGATCCAAAATTGAAATGGGATGAACATATCAACTATACAGCAAAGAAATTACAAAAAAAAATTATATGTACTTAGAAACTTATCAATATGTGTATCTAATGTGACACTACGAGCTGCATATTTTGCTTTATGTCATTCACTCATAACTTATGCCATTATTGCATGGGGGCACGCTGCGGAAAGGCATAGAATTTTCAGGTTACAAAGAAAGGCAATTAAAATTATAGATGGAGTTTATTATAAAAATGATTGTAGAACATCTTTTATAACACTGAGTATTTTAACATTCCCATCATTATACATATTAGAAAATTTACTCCATATAAAATCGCATATACCTCAATGTGAATCATTTGAAAATAGACACGAATACGACACTAGAAATAAAAAAGATATTATCTTTAATACCTTAAAAAAGGCCAAAATGGACTGAAGTACTGGGCTGTGAAATTTTATAATAAACTTCACGAGGAAACAAAAAAATTAACTACTAGCGAATTCAAACGTAAAATAAAAGAGTTTTTAGTATCTAAAGCTTACTACAGTATACATGAATTTTTACAGGATGACCTTAGTATATAAATACACAAGACGAATCATGATAATATTTTTATATTGTATTCACCTTTAAATGTAGTTTCGTGAAATTATTTAAGATTGTTTTAGTGTGTAATTTTAATATAATGTTAATAAGCTTATTTTATGTTGTATCTTTGTTTGACTTGTGTGAATACTGTGAGTATAGTAACACCAATAAAGTGTCTATCTATCTATCTATCTATCTATCATAAATAAAGAATACCATACCCAGAAACGAGCCCTGTGATACCCCACATTTGAGTTATTCTATTCTTGACTAATATTTGCAACTCTGTTTCACTTTACTTTGAAATGAAGAATGTTTTACAGATCGTCACACAATTTTTTACCTTTTGTTATTTGTGTAGAGAGATATAAATGAGAGATATCAGTCATGACTGAATATGATAACAAAATGGTTGGAATACTCACAATGGTTGGAATGATCTCTGGATCATTATATCATACAAACTACTACTATTGCAAACAAATAATTTTAGAGTAGCTACTTTTTACCAATTAAAAAGTCATTAGAAATATCAAGATTCTGTTATAGTATTCCTCATATTCCTTACCCCTGGATTTAAAATGATATACTCTTCTATGGTGATTGACAATTTCAGGTTTGGTGGAATTACAGAAAGAATTAAATGGAGAAAGTTATAAATTGGAACCGTTCCCACCAGGAACCTATGAGGAATATGATTTATTAGAGTCTGGTAAAGTTAAATTAGTAAAAACAGTAAAGTATCATTCACCTGGAGACAAACCTTTGTTTAAGCCTTTTTTACCATATACAGGTAAAGTAATATGAATTAAATTGTGTTACTATGTTCTTTAGAATACATATTTATTTGATTTAGATTTATCACCAATCAATGATAAGGAAAACATAAACAATTTATTGAGATTGGCAGTGAAAAAGAGGTTGATGGCAGACAGGAGGATTGGTTGTTTACTATCTGGTGGTCTGGATTCCTCTCTTATAGCATCTCTGTTGGCAAAAGAGGCCAAGGAAGCAAAGTTGCCATATAAAATACAGGTAAGAAATATATTTGCATGAGTGATATCTTACAAAAGAAAAATATGAATCTGACAAAAAATGAGAAGTTACTATAAAAATAATTGGCAGGTCTATAAATGAAATGATTTCAGATTGTATTTTATTTCGGTCCCATAAAATTGCGTTTATTAATGTTTTTTCTTTGTTTTAATTTTAATAATTTAAAATTAATAATAATAATGATAATACATTGTTTTTTGTTTGTCAGTAAACAAAATATACATGTTGATCAATAGCAATGACAACAAAAGGATAATTCTTTCACACTTTCGTCATTCATGTCTGAACCTTTTTTTTTTTTTCATTCTGTAATATTTATCTTTTCACTTTGTGTTTCGATCCATATCTTTACATTTCTACATGGTTTATCTGAGGAATATGAAACCGTAAACATGTTTGATGTTCATACTATTTTTATGACTAAGAGCTATGTAATTTCCAAGATAAACATAGTCAGTGATTTTGTTGAATGATATGAAAAAAATCTTTGAGCTAATATCCCTTCAAGAGATATCAGGGTGTATTTTTTGTTGTGTTTTTGATCATTTCAATTTGAATTCGTGTCTATTTTCACACTTTCATTATCGTCATATAAAGTATCATTTTCTTTCAGGGGGTGATTGATTCATTGTAATATTTTATTACTTTACAGTTGGAACAACAAAATAATACGCATGCATAATCAATTTGTGCATTCAATACAGGTCAACAAAGTTATGAAAACGAAATTATGTTGCTACTGTTTCTAACAACCTCATCTTTTAATGAAGATTTTATTTTATTTTTGACAAGTAACCCCATGTTCCGGTTTTGGGTCAGTTTTTCATGAAATTCATTAGCACTTCATTGATTATTCTGTGAACAAATCATATTTTATATTCCAACTTCGATATCTGTGGATTTAAATATTCCAACATTAGATAGAGCCATTCCCAATTTGAAGTTAAAATGTACAATTACAGTGAAATATAAAATGCTCACCGGTTATTAGTTGTGAAAACAACTGTTTGGGTAATATTGATACCATAGAAACTCTTCAACAACAAAGTAACCTGTCAAACGATATTGATATGTTATCAATTGGTTTCAAAATCTAAGGAATTGCCGACGACTCATGTTTGTGTAGCCATCTCTCTTCGATGTACTGGGTGCAATCTATCGTCTATCTGAATCCTCTTTTGTCTTTCATTTTCATTTATAGAAGAAAAGGATGCTATAAAATAGTATATGTTTTATTGTGTATTTCATTTATGACTTATATGTATTCTTGTGTTGTCTCAACTGTTGGATCTTTTTTTCATAAAATGTGACAAGGAATCACCCCCTAAAATTAAAGTCATCACTGTATATAAGTTTTCTGATATTAAATATGACATTTCCATTGAAATTCTATCCAACACTTTTATCCTGGATTTGTTAAAAACTTATTATGATGTTCCTAACCTCATCTATGCATTGAGTAGCATATGGTGTTTAGGGAAGAGCATCGAGGAATTAAAAAAATGTTTGATTTATATAGTGATATAAAGTGTATTTCTCATTTATGCACATAAACAAGTTATTTTATTGATAACAACTTCAAAGAATGTTTTCCAAACTGTCTACTGATTTTTTCTATAAATTAGCTGTGGTCAATTAATATCTTTTATTACACTTAAAAGGTCAGCACACTTCCTTATATACGCCACTATATAGCAACTATCGTTATGGTGTGGGGGGGGGGGGAAGGTTTTGAATGTACCTACTCAAAATAACGAATACATTACTACCAAGTTGAATTGATTCTGGCTATCTCAATATGACCAGTCTCAAGATGCTACACTGGAAATGAGGTCTAAATGTGGTAGGATACATTTATTGATTTCTGTGCTTCATAACATTGACAGCTCTAGCGCACCTTTCAAAGGTTTAAATTATACTTATATAGACCTGATTTCCGTTTTTTTGTATTGTTTTTTAATTCTCGAAAGTTGTAATGAGGTTACAAAAACAAAAGGAATTTTATTATTCTCCTACATCAATGTCAATCCTTCTAGTCTTTTTCTATCGGAATGGCTGACAGTCCAGATCTGGTTGCCGCACGTCTTGTTGCCAAACACATCGGGACGGATCACCACGAGATAATCTTCGGAGAGGAAGACGTTGCCAGAGTTCTCGATGACGTCATTTACACCTTAGAAACGCCAGATATAACTACGATAAGAGCATCCATACCCATGTACCTGATTTCGAAATATATCTTAGAGAATACTAACACTACTGTCCTGTTGAGCGGGGAAGGTGCAGATGAAGTAGCGCAAGGATATATATACTTTAGAGATGCTCCTGACGCTGACTCAGCTCACGATGAGAGTGTGAGATTGTTGAACGAGATTTACATGTTTGATGGTCTGAGAGCCGATAGGACCACTGCTTCTCAAAGGTGAGATTTTTCACTTATGCCTCGTTAAAGCTCGCACAAGTTTCGACTTCTGAGGGTTGTCGTTCGGATGCGACAGCTGGTTAACGGAAAAACAGATTTTAAACAGATTTTTTTTTTGAACATGTTAGCTAACTTATTGTCAACTTCATTTAATTTTAAGCCTGGAGTTGAGAGTACCTTTTTTGGACATCCAATTCACCAATTATTATTTGAATCTTGCTCGGGAATTGAAGCAACCAGTGAAATCGGTGGAGAAGCATCTTCTGAGATCCGCATTTGATGGTACTGATGTGCTACCTCACGAAATTCTCTGGAGACCAAAAGAAGCATTCAGGTAAAATATAATATTCCTATTTGTTGATTATTGTTTATGTTACCCTATACAACTCGTTAAATTTGAATCTGGAGTTTTCCCGTCATCGAATTTCAAACTTACCGTTTTTAATAGATATAGGGAATATATTTTTTTGTTATTGTTATGTTTTCTCCGTAACTTTAACTGGACTTCAGACTAATTATCAAAGGTCTATCGCCTTATTAGCTCACGTCGTACACCACTTTCAAGTAGACTAGCCCCCATCTGCCTGTTAGTAGTACTTATATATCCCAATGGAAGTTTTCGGAAGTTGATAGGAATATTCTCCAAGAGACGCGAAACCTGAAATGATCGAGAAGCACAAGTGAAGTTGAGTGCGATCTTGGCCAAGTCAATATGTCATAATAAGTACAGAATGGAAACTTTAACCCTTTCTAAAAGAGTGCCGTATGTATACGTACGTCCATGTGAGTACGAGTGTCGTACAAATTTAAATGATAATGCTTCACGAGTGTCTTACAAATACGGCGAGCTGGACATGTGTAATATAACTCTGTATTTGCAACCTCAACGACTGCGCATTTGATGGGCAAAATATTACTGTTTGAAGGCATGTGTTTTAGTCAGTATCATTTTGTCATAGGGTAATCTCTGAAAACATGTCCCGCAGGTAGTTAACCTTTTATGTGTTATTGAATATATATATGGACAGGATGGCTAGGGCTAGGATGTGGAATCATACACGATCTGAGCTTGACTGCTTTAATCGGTGACCTTCGAGACAGATGACAGTTGGCACTTAGGCATTTTGTAGCATACTTATTACTTAACCCAAAAAGAGTTGGAAAATAAAGCCGACAATTTATGTGACGTGGATGATAACGAGTGTATCTTCAGTAGTGGAGAAAGTGAAGATGAAGAGGGATATGATGATGAGCCGAAAAAGGATGATGAAACAAATTCTGTTCTATACTAACCCTTTGCGACTCACGGCAAGACATTTCATACAAAATATACCGCAATCCAAACCTACTACAAGAAAAAATTTACCAGTGCGAAATTTGTAACGTCAGATTGTGTGTGACACCTTGTTTTGAGTTGTATCACACCAAAAAGACGTTCTGAATTTTGAAAGTATTCCTTTATCTTTTCTTTCTTCAAGCTGTAGAATTATCTTACATTTTTTTTGTGAATCAATAGATTGATTTTTCTTAAGAATAAAATGAGTATTTCGCATTTTTCTTTCATTATAATTGTTCTAATTACGACTGTCGTACGTAGAGGTCAACGTAGAGGTCAAATAAAAAAACCTGCCTACTGGGAGTACTGTATAAAAAAGACACCCTCGTATAGAAAGGGTTAAATTGAGTTTAGTAGCACTATCAATTCTTGCCTCAATTTCTTATATGATCAGAATATTTTTATTTCAGAAAATAACTGAACTGGTTATGATTCCACAAGTAATTATATTCCATTTGTTTATCAGTCAAAAGAGGATCAAATATTTTTTATTTACCCTTTTTTTTTTTGGAAAAAGTGGGGCAATAATGAATTTAGGTACTTCAAATAACATTCCAAGAACTTCATGAAACTTGATAGATATGAACTTTAAAAGATGCAAATATAATGGGAAAATAACAAGCCAGCAAATAACAGCAACTTCCTGACACATGATTTTGTCTCATTTTGCGTTGCCGGAGACTCTTGTTCAGAGGTGTTTGAGTTTTCTGTCGTTCTTATCTTCGTCGCTCTCTTACTAAGAATTTTTAAACGCAGCCGAGTTCGATTGTTGCATTCACAATCCTGTTTTCGTTAAAAAAGTTTCGTGAAGTATGATTGTTCATTTTGTTTTTTAGTGATGGCGTAGCATCTACGAAGAAATCTCTGTTTGTTATTCTTCAAGAAATTATCGACAAACGGATGCCTGAACCTTTTGATCGGGACCTAACTGCTAAAAAGTATCCACATTGCACGCCTACTTCCAAGGAAGCTCTGTACTACAGGGAAGTGTTTGAGAAAAGTTATCCTGGTCTGGCCGAGAACTTCTTACCATACTATTGGATGCCTCGTTGGGTCAAGGATGTTACAGATCCTTCAGCTAGATTTATAAAACATTATGAGGTAAAAGAACAGTAAATATTCAAAATTAGATGCAGTTTGGTATAATTAAGAACACTTTATAGATCTGATTTATTTTCTTTTCATTATTTTTCTTTTTTTTTTATTTTAGCAACGTTTGTGATATTCAACAGTGTGCTATATAAAAATTATATTGTTTTTTGAATGATTGATTTTTATGGGCATTATAACAACTAAGGCATTGAGTCAAAGTCAAGATTAGACAGGAAATCTGGCCTAGTAGGCAGTGATTGAAAGGAACTTGTGCCAAAAGTTTCGTCTGCTGTTGCGGTAGATATGTTTAGTGGTGTAGGCATTGACTGCGAAGATGAAGGTATTATCACGATGTCTGAGCAGCGACTAACCGGGAGCAAAATTTTCCAATGGGGCACGTGTACCTGCTTTTTTTCTTTATATAGTTGCAAGTAGACTGTACTAGTGTATACAAAGTCAAGAATCACATTGCAAAACTGTTTAAATGTCACAACATTAAGACAATTTACAAGCCAACTGATTAATTACTCAACACTATCAGGACAAAGGACAGAAGAGAGCCTTTGTCATCCGCTGGTGTTTACATTGGAATTACCAAATGCATCATCACCAGGATACAAGAACACAAGCGTACCCAGCTGCTGCCTTATGTAACCGGAGAAATTTACATTAGCAGAAAATCTACTAGAAGAAACAGATCATCACTTGATAAAAATCGAAGAAACTGCTGTTCTGTCTGCTACAAGGCATTACCACGTACGACTTCATAAGTAAGCTGTTGAGATATATCGGCATCCCAACAACTGTATCAGGAAATGACAAGGTATACTAGTTAACAGAATGTGTAATCCAGTACCCAAGTACCAAGTACATAATAATAATAATAATAATAAACACTGTAACGGGAGTTACAGAAACTTCAGTACTTCAGAATCATTGAGGTTGATCTTGAACTTCGGCACTTTAAAATCAGGGAGATTGCCCGTTCCTCGTTTTAGTATATATTAATTATTTGCCAAATATAAAAATATCAGAACATTTTATACCAGCCGATGGTACCACTATAATGTGACTCTGTTCGGATATTGATTCTTTAGATACATTAATTCATAATGATGCCAATATAATTAGAAAATGGTGTGACACTACCAGTGTTGTTGCTTTCAGAGATGATATCGAAAATCTATTACTAGGAAAGGAGTCGGTTAAGAGCAAATACTATCAAAATTCCTGGAGCTACACTTTGATGGTAGACTGAATTTCGATAGTCATGTTAAATGCAATCTTTTGGGGTACATCAATGAAAAATAACCGTCATTTTGTAAATGAAATATTGTTTCACAAACTATTGTATTTAGTAACAGTAGATGATGTTCATTCATTTAATCAAATAATTATGTAATAGTTACTATTAAAAGGTTTCTATATTAGGTTTGTATATTAGATGATTATTATTATATCGAGGCTCTCAAAGAAAGCATATTAGCATCTGACTATACAGTTCGTATCACATTCAACGAACTGGGACTGTCTTAATGCAAATATGGTTTGTTACTCACTAATCAGATCTGACCATGGCGTTGTATTCTGGGGGATAGTAACAAAGACATGCATGCCGGGCGATACATGTGTAAAGCAAAAAATCGAGATTCTTGTTAACCATATTTGTCAAGTATAAAATTCTGACTGTTGTAGCCTTTATTCATATTGGAAACTGCGTGCCTAATAAGAAAACATATAATAATAATAATAATAATAATAGCTTTATTGTGCATAAATTACACACAAAAGGTAGGGGTTAGCCTATGGCTATCTTCCTCCCCTCCTGCTAAGTAATACACATAACATTTATGAGCAATAAGGTAATTACCTAATATAATTCAATATTCTTCAGCGGCAAAATTAAAAGAGAGAATATGATAAATACATCTCAGTTTGCAGAAAAGTAAAGGAAAACACTACACTACAATACATTACTCTATGCTGGTCAACAAAGTTGATTTCAAATGATGTTTCACTTCATATAAAGATGAATTCAGGAGAGGAATTATCATGTTCAAAAATAACGGTGCCAGATAGGAAATGCATCTTTCGTATTTAGATGTGACATGGTTTGGAATGTTGAAATTATTGAACCTGGTATTGATGCTACGGATATTAGAACGACGTACTATAAGCTCTAATAAATACAGGGGTATTTTGTTTTTGATGAGTTTAAAAAGAAATATTGTGATCAGATATTTCATTCTACACTTTATGTTTAATTCTCTCAATCCTTTCAGAAAAGGAGTAATGTGCTCTCTATAAGGTACACAGCAAACAAAACGCATACAAGAATTTTGAATGCGTTGCAACTTTTGTTGATTATATTCCGGTAGAAAATTATAATATACTGGAGCGCAGTGATTTCAGTTTGAAGAACGCTATTTTAAATATATTTTGGACATGGTCATTGAAGTTCAAGTTTTGATCGATAATCAATCCGAGATTTTTCGTTGAGTCAACCCATTCAATGTCCGTTTGATTCATTCTGAGACTATGTTGTTTGATCTGATAAGTCTGTCTCTATATCAGTCAAATCGCAAGGTGAATATAATTGAAAATCGTCGGCATATAGGTGAACTTGACAAAAGTTTAAACATGATGGAAAATCAAAAATGAAAATTACAAATAATAAGGGCCCAAGAATACTACCTTGGGGTACTCCAGAAATAGTCTCTTTAAGGGTTGAGCATAGCAGGTTATTATCAAGCGTTACTCTTTGTGATCGACCTCGGATATAGCTATTCATTAATTCCAAAGCTCTTTATTGAAACCCTATGAATTTTAATTTCGCAAGAAGAAGCTGAAAATTGACAAGATCGAAGGCTTTGCTTTGATCCAGGAGAACTAGGATCGACGGTATAGATTTATCACCATAAGTACATATATCATTTATGACTTTCAATAGAGCCGTGTGTGTACCATGTTTCGAACGAAAGCCAGACTGTACTTCTGGTAAGATACTATTGAAATCCAGGTATTGTCTGATCTGTAGAGAAAGTATTTTTTCAAAAAGTTTGGAAAATGTAGGTAAGATGCATATGGGACGAATATCATTAAAACTTTTAGGTGTGGATATTTTAGGTATCGGAATGACATTGGCAATTTTCCACAATTCCGGAAATGTACCTGTTCTCAAGGATTCATTGAAAATGTGTTTTACTTCTAAACCCAATGCCTGCGATTTCAGAGATTTTAGAGCATCCCAGACATGATCACTAGTTATTTCAGTAAATGAGAATTTCAAGTTACTTCCCAGAAAAAACGTATTCCAGAAACACTTTATTGTGTGATTTTCACTAGATAGTTTTACAAAAACGCAACACGTGTTTCGCCATACAATGGCTTCCTCGGGGGTGTCTTAAGACACCCCCGAGGAAGCCAGTGTTTTTAGAATACGTTAGTTATGGATTTTCATCAAGTATCGGCCGATTCCATCATTAACTTCCCAGAAGGTTATTATTATAGAATGATAGTAGTTCCGCATTTACGGAGGTTTTACCCGCAACATTCAAAAAATAATTGTTAAGTAAATCAGGCTCACGGAGTTCTAAAGGAATATTATTCGTTTTGAGAGTCGATTTTGTGCATGCACCCCAGTCGCTGAGATAGCGCCACATCGACTTAACGTTATTTTTTATTTTGTCAAGCACAAATTGCATATAGGCAGATTTCTCACGTTTCACAGCTTCGTTCACATAATTTCGAAGCGTAATATAATATGCTTTATCTGTATCAGATCTAGTTCGCAAATACCTTCGATGAGCTTTGTTTTTCGTTTCAATCATGAGCTTGATATTATGAGTTTTATAAGGAACAAATATTACCACCTTTGAAGTCATTCAAATGAAATAAAGTACTTGCCAGGATGAAAATATTAGATCACCTTTCCAACACCAAATCTTGTCTGTTGTATACAATAGTTTCAAAATATATAACCATATACCAATAGAGATACTTAACACTTCAAAAAAACCGGCTATACTATTGCATTACTGACTTTTTCAATGATACATTTTGAATTGGATTCAATTCTGATACCAACATCATTTTGTGTTAGTGTAATTACCCTGGTCTGATGTGGTATAGTAGTTGATGTACCTTTATTAATTTATTTTTTACTAACGTGTGTTGTGTTATGTATCGTATTGAACTATGTAACATAACAACGTGATTTATTATTAATGTCTGTTTTGTCTACTTTTTAAGATAGTCAAAAGAAATGATTGAATGTCGACAAGACAGACAATAAAGTATATTTCTCTCTCTCTCTCCCTGATTATCTCAATCGGTAGTGAGCATTCTCAAGGACATCACCAATATAAATGCACGTAGCTCCCCAGTCAGACCTTGCTGAGACTTCAAGATACTACTTTCGATCTCTCATTCAACTCTACTGAAGATGTATGTCGCAGTTGCAGACGAAACGTTTATCATTACAAGCTTCTTTTGACTAATTTGGAATGATGTGAAATTTATTTTTTTTCTTGTCCCTGTGAAATTATCTATCAGGTTTATTCAATTTTTAAAATAAAAACCAGAATTTGTCATTTATTTTTTGTTCAATTATTGCAAATATTCCATAAATACCGGATCGTTGACACTACTCTATATTTACTTTTATGTGTCAATGCCCTCTACTACTCTGTTCGTTATCCTCGTGTTCTGAGTAGGCAATGTTAACAACTCTCCGAGCCACCTAGAAAGCACCATGGTTATTCTCAGTCTGTTAGCCATGAAACGATACACAATCATTCCATCTTCAAGTAAATCAATTCCGGGAAAAATATCTGGTCGACATGGAGATTGAACTCACGACCTTTCGATAATGAGTCGGATGCACTACCACTGCACCAAATTACTGCTATATTTTCCGATTCTGATATGCACTTTTTGGTATGTCTGAGCTTTCTCAGCGATTCGGTGTTTCCTCATTCGTCGCCAAACGCCGTCCTTCCATGGGTCTCTTCAATCTTGGGAGCAGGAAAAAGTCGCAGGGAGCTAAATCTGGTGAATACAGTGGCTGAGACATGATTACAGTGTTGTAGGTGCATTATAGTAATGCAAAAGCCTTGTATTGTTTTTCTAAAATACCGGATGTTTTCTTCGTATCGCTTCTCGCAAGCGGCGCATAACTTTAAGATAATACTCCTCATTGACCATACGAGCATGTGGCATGAACTCCTGATGCACTATGCCACGGTAATCGAAGAAAACAGTGAGCAAAACATTGACATTTGATCGAACTTGGAGTGCTTTTTTTTTATCTTGGCTCTCCTGGGCTCTGCCATAAACATATACCCATGATTCATCATCAGTTATGACCCTCATTAGCAAATCTAAATCGCCGTTGACGTCATTCAACAATTCCTGAGCGATGCTCATGGGACGGTTTTTTTCCAATGAAAATTCATCAATTTCGGAAGAAACTTCGCTGCTACATGTTCATGCTAAAAATTTCCGAAAAAAATGCATGGCATGAGCTAGCCGATATGCTGACATCCTCAGCAACTTCTCTAATAGTGATTTGACGATTCTCCATAATAATTTTCTCAACATTTTCATTGGTTATTGAATTTTTCTGATTGATTTGGCCGTTACTTGATGAAGAGCCATAGTAATTTCATAAACTTCACCTGACGATTTGATCTCCACAAACTTTATTTGAAAAATGTATCACATGTTTTGCTAAACCAGCAACGTCTTCAACAGTGATTTGAATATTCAAGAATATTTAATATCGAAGATTTAAATCACTGTTGAAGACATTTTAGCGAAACATGATATATTTTTCAAAAAAAGTTTGTGGGGAATAAATTCTTTGATCAATTTTTTTCGACAGCAGAAAATCGCTGAACACAAAATACTTCGAACTTTCATGCCTCTCACCAACAAACTAAACAGCTGAAACTGTGAACATATGTTCGAGACGTACCAACGTAAAAAAACAAAAAAAATGCTAATAGAATGTACTTATCCCGCGAAATTTGAACATTCACCTAATTTTTTCAAGTATAAAGTATAAAGAGGAATCTTTCCCTATTTCAAAAGTTTGGTTATTTTGAGGTCTCATTGAAGACACATAAGTATTGACTTGACCCTTTCGGGAGGAAAGACAAAAAAACTTTGCATGAATATTTTAAATCTGTCAGACGAAAGGCATATAAATTCTCCTTAGTTCGGACTTCCATTGTCTAATATATAAATTGATTTGAAATCCCTGAAAGAATCTGTAAAGACAATCAGGAATCCAACCACCATCAATCGACTAAGAGGAATCATCAAGACTTTACTAGACCGTGCTTTCGGGCTGTGTAATACAAAGGAAGGTCTCGAAAAGGAACTAGGCATCATCAAAAATTACCTTCAACGGAATGGTTACTTCAAAGTGATGGTGGAACAGGCTTTAGCTAGAAGACAGCAAGAGCTAGCTCCACAAGGAAGAGAAGCCGCCACAACCAGTACTTGTACTTCCCTACATCAGAGGATTGTCGGAAAGGATAAGAAGGATTGGGTCCAAGTATAACATCAGAACCTGCTTCAGATCTGGGAACACTATCCGTTACAGCCTTACAAAAACCAGGCCACCAAACGCGGACTGCGATTCCAAAAATTGCATTTACTGGATACCCTGCGAGTGCGGAGAATCATATATCGGTGAAACTAAGAGGCCATTGAAAGTTCGCATTGCCGAGCATAAGAAACACACACAGCGAGGAAAAACCAGCAAATCCGGAATAACAGAACATGTTTGGACTCATCAACATAACATCAAGTGGGCTCAAG